GTTAAAAAAAAAATACAGGAGAAGCTGAAGAAAAGAGGATGTGGGCACAGAAAGTGTGTTTTAGGCAGATGGAGCAGCACATGCAGGGCTGAGGCAAGAGAATACAAAAACTCAGTGACAAATATATAATCTAGTGGTAAAATTGAACTAGATTAAGAAAACTATGTACAATACATTTGAAAGAGGAGCCTTGTGAAGTGCTGTTGAGAGATTTTAAGCCAAAAAAAGGACATGATTAGTTGAGCATTTAAGAAAGCCCTCCCTGGATGCACTGTGGAAAATTGACCACAGTGTACAAGAATAAAGATTGAGAAATTATGAGGAGGCTGATATTCTAAAACAGATAAGAAAGTACTGACATGAACTCAAACAATAGCCATAGGAATGAAAAAGAATGGAAAATACTGAGGGTTATTTAGTATTCAAAATCAATAGGACTTCATGACTGACTACCTATAAGAAAGTAAAAAGAAAGGGGAAGAGTCCTGAATGATGACCAAATTTCTGGCTTCAGTACTTGATGGATGAAGGTATCTGATATTGAAACAAGTAATAGGAAAAAGAACTGCTTCAAGTATGAACATAAATTCAGTTTGAGATATGTTGAGTATGGAAAACATGAAAGGTCCTGGTTGAGTTCATCAGTCAAGATGTTCTATGTTTGGCCTCCCCCGGTGGCGCAGCGGTTGAGCGCTGGGCTGCGAAGCTGCCCGCAGCCTCTGCAGCGCCGCCGGTTCGATCCCCGGCTGCCAGACGAGGGTCCCACATGGCGCACAGACCTCTCCTGCCGTGCCCGCTGCACCCCTCAGCGGTGTATTTCATCAGTCTACCTGTTCTGTTCCCCGCTCTGGCTCTGGTGAATTCTCTCACCCTCCCAGGCTTCTGACTGTACCCAGTGCTTGTATGAATAAATAAATCTTTAAAAAAAGATTTATATTTATTTATCTATAAATAAATATATTTATATTTATACCGCCAGCCACCAGGGGAGGCTCAATAAATAAATAAATAAATAAATAAATCTTAAAAAAAAAAAGATGTTCTATGTTGCATATGATAGAAAACCTACATGAAATTAGCATATTCAAAAAAAGATATTGATTGGCTCTCATCACCAGACCTGAAGTGGAGGGAGAGTTCAGGCACAGCTGCATCAGGGACTACAACAATGACTTCAAGAATCCAGTTTCTCTACCCCAGCTCTAATTTCTCTGAGTGAACTTCACTCCCAAAGCAGGATCTCTATTTATGGATACAAGGTCACTGCCAGTGGTTTTCCTTTCAGGTACAATCGAAGAGTAAAAGGAAAAAGTCTGCAACCTAGAATTCCCAGAAAAAACTCTGAGATTTAATCCAATCACTTAAGCATTGGACCCATTTCTGAACCAATCACTGTGCCATAATTGGAAAGATTATAGTAAGTGACTTAAGCCATTAAAGGCCTACTCCTAGCACTAGGAGTGGGATGAGTTCCACCTATACCATATGTCTTATAAATTAAAATTCCAATTAGGGTGGAGGTAGAGGGGACTGGAAAGATGTAGGGACAGTCAACATAAATGTCCACTACCAATATCCAGTGCAATTAGAGACAAAGATTTGGGGTCAACTGCACAGAGATTGTAATGAAAACCAGAAATAGATGAGATCCAGGGAGAGTGTGTAACATGAGAAGAGACCTTAGAATAGAATCCCGGAAATATCAAAATTGAAAGACTGGACAGAGGAAAACAAGCCTGGGGAAAAATGAAAAAGGAAGAGTTAGAGATGAGTTAAAAACCTCATTTCAGAGAGGTGATTACTTACTGGAGCTTTTCAGGAAGAGAGTATTAAAACATCATTAGCTGGGAGAGATTGGGTAAAATACCCTTTAGATTAGCATCAAGGAGTTTTCTAGAAGCCTTGAAAGGATGAGTGTAAGTGGAGAGTCTGAGTGTGTTGGGGGAGAATGGAATAAGTTGTAAGGATCAATGAGAAAGCAGAGCTTTTAGAAAATATGGACATAAAAGGATGAAGAATCAATAGGCTGAAGAAAATATGGGACCAAGGGAGAATTTAAAATGTAATATGGGGGGCCTCCCTTGGTGGCGCAGGCGGTTGAGCGCCGCACTGTGATGCTGTCCACAGCCTCTGCAGCACCGGTTCGATCCTGGCCGGCTGGGTGAGGGTCCCACATGGCATGGCAGACCTCTCCTGTCTTACCCGCTGATCCCCTCAGCAGTGTGTTTAGTCCGTCTGCCTGTTCTGTTCCCTGCTCTGTCTCTGGTGAATCTTCTCACCCTCCCACGCATCTGGCCTGTACCCCAGTTCTTGTGTAAATAAATAAACAAATCTTTAAAAAAATTAGAAAAAGTAATAAAATGTAAGATGGGGCTTCCCTCATGGTGCAATGGGCTAAGTCTCAGCACTATGGAGCTATCTGCAGTCATGGCAGCACGGGTTCAATCCCCAGCCAGGGAGCCAACCCGCATGGCGCAGCAGACCTCTCCTGTGTTACTCACTGCTCCCCTCAGCGGTGTATTTCAGTTGCTCTGCCTGTTCTGCTCCCCACTCTGTGTCTGGTGAATCCTCTTGCTTCTCTTCCACCCCCACCCCTGTACCCTGGTCTATACCCCAGCTCTTGTATGCATAAATAAATAAAATAAAATAAATCTTAAAAAAAATGTAAGATGATTCAACATTTTAAATGGCAGGTTAGAAAGCAATAGAACAGGAGAGACTAAAGATAAGTTTTATCTAGAAAGTCTGTGTATCCTACCCTTCATATAAATATTTATGATATATATACTATTTGAGACAAAGAGACTATTCATAACTGAAGAAACCATGATGAATTAAACCTTGGAGAGGTGAGGAAAAAAAAAGTTAAAAATTGTTAAATGGAAATAAATTGTACCTGACCATTTATGTATTTTTACCTGGATTTTCTTATAAGTTCTTGACTTGAGATTCTGGCTTCTTATGACCTTAGGTTATTTTTTTCATGAAATATAATTTGAAAATATTAACTTTAAAGTTTAAAAATTAATTAGTTAAAGGCTGATGTAAAGTCCCATTCTTAACCTTATTTTGAATCACAGACCACTTTGAAAATATGAAAACCCCAGAAAGAGATGAACTATTCCAGGGAGGTTCGCTTAGAGAACCTCATACTGTAACAGGGTGGTCCCCAGGAAAGGTGGAGGTTCCCTGCCCCACCCAAGGGAGGGTGGAGCTGAGCAGGAAGAGGAGAAGCTGCAGAAGAGACTGAGGTAGGAAGCAGGATGGAGCCAGGAGACCTGGAGGAGGCACATGGAGCCTAGAGACACGTGAAGAAACTGTGCTTGTCTTTTGGTCGTAGACTGGGTGACACAGATGTGGGTGAGACCCATGGGGAGGTGACAATGGCAGCTTTTATCTTGATGTTGATTTTGCTCTTTTCCTTCCGGGCTTGTCCGGTTGTTTGTGACCCTTTTCTGTGGGTCCCCACTGGAAGATGCTTTAGACTTGTGGCAGGCCTTGGGGCCTTGCTCTGGGCCAATCCCATTTGGATGGACTTTTACCCACTAGGGGATGGGTAAATTTGGGTGCTTGATTTAGAAACTAGATTCTTTGCCTTACCTGTATTGTTTCCTAGTTTTATTAAAGTTCCTTTTCATTAAAGTCTCCTATGTTTTGTGTTGATGCGGCGGATGGCAGAACCCATTTAGAATAGGCAGGTTTGCGGGGCTTGGGCTGCCCCTCTCCCTGTCCTATAACAATACCCACAGATACAAAGCACAACTTTCTAGGATTTGCCAATAGGACTCCTTCCTGGACTTCTCATGTAAGCCAGACAGCAAACAGGATTAGTCTCTACTTCCTTACTCTTAGTCATAATTAAAGGTATGTTCCCCACCCCTTAGTCTTGAACACAAATTCCTCCCCTCTCCTACCTTTCCATGTGCTACAGCTGATAAAACAAAAATATTGGACTGGAATAGTACTGCCTTCAAATCCTGGCTCTGTAACTTTCTAAATTATACCCATCTCACTAAGTACTTACCTCTCTGATCTAGCTATAATTTCCTTATCAGCAATATGAAATTGTTAGGGGGAAATGATGTCCTGAGATAATCCCATGCAGGCTTTGTGGACCCCACCCCCACTCCAGACTAAAGCCATCAAGACATTGGGAAAGACAAATCCCATCACCACCAAGGGGAAGGTGGCTGGGACCTGAGGGTGGAGTTGGGCAGCCAGGTTGGATATAAAAACCAGACACGTGGGCCTTGGGGTCTCTCTGGCTATCACTCGCCTCCCAGCTTCAGGGCTCCTGGCTGGCGGCCAGCTCTCAGAGCGCCATTTTGGGATTTCTGATCGGCGGATTGGGTAGGACTCATTTAAAACTTTGTCTCCCACTTTTCTCCCAGAGCTGTACATTTCCTCATTTCCCCTTCCCTTGTAAATAAACCTTTTATTAACCTTTCACGTGTGCCTGCAGTAGAGCATTGATAAGTCCTTTTAAGCGTGCGGGTGAGGACCCACAATCAGGCACCCCGTTTTGTATCGGGGTTGCTCTACAACAAAACTACATTTAGAGTTTATTTCAAATGTTTATTTCCTCCAGCTCCCTTAGAGTCTAAGAAACAGGTATTCTTTCTCACATGAACCTACCACCTAATAGGAAACTCCTTGAAAACAGGGAATTCTTCTATTTAATTTTTTCTTCCTCCACTGTTTATCATAATTCTGCTTGTAAAGCCACCAGACAAGTTTCTGATTTAGCTGAGCACTGATTTAGAATTAAGGTCTAAATTTGGTTCTATTGTCCATCATTAATGATTTCTTCTACATTTCCTAACAACTTTCCCATATTTCACCTTCAGATGAAAATCTGAAATGTAAGTCACAAACAGCTTTGTTAATGGCTTATGGACTCTAAATCATTTACAAGATTGATTATATAGGACTATTTTTAAATGAACACTAATTTTATATAAATATATACACATTATATAACCTCAAATTAATTCATCCTTATTAGAATTTTATTTCACATTGAGATAGCTTTGACAATTTGACTCTTACTCTTTTGTGTAACATTAGTAAACCCATTAGAGCTGAAATCTCACCAATAGTTATACAACTGTATCATCTTCACAGGATTAGTGCTTTTTCAGAAGCACTAACATGCCACAAGAAATTATAATACAAAAGAAAACCCCCAAAATCCTACAGATAGTATTAATTAAAGAATGTTGTTTGGGGATAAGGTAATATATTAAATACTTAGTGTCTGATTAATTGTACATATTATACATTTGTGCTTCAGCAAACCTTGAGGATAGAGTTTCTTTCAGTCAGACCTGAAATTAGGTCTCTCACTCATGTGATTTCAATTAAGTTCTGTTAAAAATAGCTCGTAATATAAGCATTTTCATTTTTAGTGCCTCAACAACTTCATACTTTCAATCTATACAAAGGGTAAACTTTGGGAAAAAAACAATGAAAGGAAGTTACTTAATATCCTGGTGTTGGCTGAAATTATTTAATGTATAGCCTTCTTATTTTACAATGCAAATACATATGCTTAAGAAGAATACAGAAAAAATTTAACTAATCAAAAATAAATGATACAAATCTGAATAGAATTTCAATGTCAGTATATATTACATATCACAAATAATTAGAGAATTTTGAACTTCATATAATTTCAGACAGACATTGTATTTTATGGGCTTTGACTTTATGTTCATATCTTCAAAGGAGTGAAAATTCAGCCACAGCTGCTACAGCCTGCCACTTGTTTTTATTATAATATCTGAAGAAAAAAATATAGCAATAGATTATTTCATACATATCACAGCAGGTGTCCAACAGTTAATTACTTATAACCAGTCCCTGGGGAAGACAGCTCTTGATGTCTAGGCGACTCTAGTTTCACCCATCAAGTCTTAGAAAAGAAATATAGAGGCCATTAAAGAAGAAGTCTTGTTCCTTCCTGGATAGACTGAGAATAGTTTTCTTTGCAGACACTGAGACCTGCTTAATAAAATTCTGATAGAAATCCTAGTAAAGACAGCTGCCAGTGGCCATCACAAGGCCTCAAACTCTAACCTTGTAACCAGGAAGAATCAAACCAGTTGTGTCCACCTCAGCCACCACTCAGGCAGAAATCATTCACATTCTATTACCCACCTTCATTTGCTATCTCCTACTTTTTGTTGTAGCTGAATTCAGGTTCTTCCCAATATAGGAATCTGGGCCTTTCCCCTCAACCTTATATCAAAAGATCCAGGGTGGAGCTAATTCTACCTTTTCCCATATCTGTTTTCATATTAAGATATACCTTATCCTGACAGACTGATCCAATCAGTCTACGTTTTGCTATCAGGCCAAAAATTCTGATTCCAGGCTATGCTCTATACCAATTAAATTAGAATCTCTAGACAAGGGGCCAAATATCCAGGGAAGTCTGATATGTGACTAAGTTTGAACACCAAACACCTATATCTTTGCTATTCAAGGTGTGGTCCATGGGCCAATAACTTCAGCATCACCCAGGGGCTTATAGAAACATAGACTCTTTTTTTTTTTTTTTTTTTTTGGATTTTTTTTTTTTTTTTATAGAGGCATGTTTTTATTTATTTATTTGTTTGCTTTTTGTTTTGTTTATACATGCACTGAGTACAGTCAGAAGCGCGGGAGGGTGAGAGAATTCACCAGAGCCAGAGCAGGGAGCAGAGCAGGCAGAAGGACCGAAGTACACTGCTGAGGGGAGCAGCGGGCGGCAGGAGAGGTCTGCGCGCCATGTGGGACCCTCCTCTGGTGGCCGGGGAGCAGCAGGGGATCGAACCGGCACCGCAGAGGTCGCGGGCAGCTTCGCAACCCTGCGCTCAACCGCTGCGCCACCGGGGAGTCCCGAAACATAGACTCTTGGGTCCCATTCCAGACTTACTGAATCAAGATCTCCATTTTAATAAAATCCTCAAGTCATTCACAAGCACATCAAAGTTTGGGAAGCACTATTATTCTACTGTCTATTCATTGTTGCTATCTTTACAGATGTCAGACACTGTCTACTCACTTATTAAAGACTCTGAGCCACCATCATCCTTTTCACACCTACCTCTGAGTAACTTCCCAAAGGTGTAATCAGTCCACTCAACTACCCAGTCTCACCTACCCTCACCTCCTCAGCATTCATATACAGGGACATAGCCTATATTTTCCCCTGACATAAGCTAGAATGCATCATTTTGAAACTTTACAATACTACTGGGAGTCATCCTCTAACTGTATGTCTTTCTCACTACCTTGAACCTGATCGGTCACTAAGCCCTGGAAATTATACCAATAAACATTTTTAGTTCAGACTGATTCTCAAACCCCAGAACCTCTGAATCAGCTCATTGTAACAATGAAACCAGAACTTATATTATTTATAAATTCCCTAGGTGTTCTGAACACCACACTTTGAGACATGCTAACTCAGATCCTTATTTTCTCAACTTTGTTCATTTAGGATTTTGTAAAACTCCTACCTGGTCTTTCTGCTTCCAGACTCACTTCTCCCCATACCACCTCCACACTTCCTGCCAGAAGGATCTAGTTAAAAAGCACTTTTACCCGGATAAAATCAAATCAGTATGACATAGAAGGCTCCCCGCAATCTGATCCAATTACTTCTCAAGACTCCCTTCTCAGAGAGTTCAATCTCCATATACCTGAACACAACTATTTTCAATTCCTCAGCTACTCAAGGATGCTTTAAGCCTCTGTACCTTTATTTATTTATGCTGGTTGCTCTGCATGCCTTCCCTATATTCCCCAATAGGGTCCCACATATAGCTTTATGAAAGCACCTCTCCCTCCAATGGACATACATACATACAAATCTGACTTTCTGTGTAAGATTACAAACTTCACTTAAAGACAATTGTCTTTATCTGAATATTACCAGCAACTAACTACATCTAGCACATGACATTCAGACTCAATAAATGTGTGTTGAATGAATAAACTAATCAATTGCAAAACTCATCTTATTCTAGAGATATCTGGCACCTAAACAACAGATTATAAAGGTATTCATGGCATCCAAAAAGTTCCTTTTTTTTGGGCCTCCCCAGTGGCGCAGCGGTTGAGTGCTGGGCTGCGAAGCTGCCTGCAGCCTCTGCAGCGCCAGTTCAATCCCCGGCGGCCGGGCAAGGGTCCCCACATGGCGCGCAGACCTCTCCTGCCACGCCTGCTGCTTCCCTCAGCAGAGCACTTTGTTAGTCTGCCTGTTCTGCTCCCCTCTCTGGCCCTGATGAATTCTCTTACCCTCTCGCGCTTCCCTCCAGTGCTTGTATAAATAAATAAATCTTTAAAAAAAAAGTTCCTTTTTCCCAAGGAACAGAGTAGCCTGTGTCACCTCTATATTTGTACTAGCTCAATGTGTTTTTGTTAAAGACTATACACATTTATCCGATATGTATATACATACACATATGTGTGTGTGTGTGTATATATATATATATATATTATATATATATATTTTTTTTTTTGGAGAGGACATATGTGTTAGGAAAAGGAGAAAAAAAAAAAAAAAGAGAAGCACCTGCATAGTCAAAGGTGGTCAGGAGCCTTATCTGATATATTCCTTACATGAGATGGCATAACCAAATTTACCATCAAATTCAGTAACATATTTTAGACTTTTTGCAACTTTATAAAAACAAAGAAATAGTTTGCAAAGGGAAATATAGTGAGTAGACTTGAGGAATTACCCTAATCTGACAGAAGCAAATAATAACTAGTGCATAGTGAGTGGATAGAAATCAGACACCTTATATAGATTATCTATAATCCTTGAAACAACTCTGAGGTAAGAACTAATATTGTGCCAATTTTATAGGCAAAAAGCTAAAATTCACAAGATTTAAGAAATTTGAAGTTAGGGCCATTGTACTCTTAAGTGATTTACATTATCCTACCTTGGATATGCCAATCTTTTTCCATGTCAGCTGTCATACTTTGGTATGATACTTCTACCTGACATTATCTAAAAACTCAAACCTATCATTGATTTTATATATATATATATATATATATACAGGTGTATATATAGGCAATTGATTGTATACATATACATACAGTTGAAGGCCATTATTAACTTCCTAGCTTGACATATGAATCTATTTTTTTTTTTTTTTTTGTGAGACCATCGTCAGTGGCCGGGGATCGAACTGGCGCTGCAGAGGCTGCAGGCAGCCTCGCAACCCAGAGTTCAACCGCTGCGCCACCAGGGGAGGCCCGACATATGAATCTATGACTTACCATTAATCATCTGTTCTGGAACTCCATCTAAAAATAAAAATCTTAAAATCTTAATTTAAGGTTATAGGTTTTGTCTGATTTTCCAGAAGATATTAGCTTGAAGATCTTTCTTGATAATTCAAAGAAAAGTTAGTATCCCCTCTTGGGTTCCTGGAGATAGTTTTCCATTTCTAGACTATCACCTTCCAGAAAAGCATGAGGTCTATCTCATCACTAAACTTGTAAGCCCCTGAAGGGCTAAGGCTGTAGTCATCTCCCTAGCTAATCCTGCAGTGCCTAATGCATATCTGTTGACTGATTTAAAATTCCAATCTATTGTTAAAATTTTAAGGCCTATAAAACTAATTGCTCTAGCCTCTTCTCAGCAAAATAAAATAAAATAAATTTCTTTTTTTTAAAGATTTATTTATTTATGCATACAAGAGCTGGGGCACAGGCCAGAGATGCAGGGCATGAGAGGATTCACCAGAGACAGAGTGGGGAACAGAACAGGCAGACTGACTGAAATACACTGCTGAGGGGAGCAGTGGGCGAGACAGGGGAGGTCTGCTTCACAAGTGGGTTGCTCCCTGGCAGGCCAGGGATCGAACTTGTGCTGCAGAGGCGAGACAGGCCAGGTCTGCTTTGCCATGTGGGTTGTTCCCTGGCAGGCCGGGGATCGAACTTGTGCTGTAAAGGCTTCGGATTGCTTCTTAGTGCAGTGCTTAACCCCTTGCGCAAAGGGAGGCCCCAATATCTCTATTTAAATAGCATACTGACCAGTCTCCCCCGTGGCGCAGCGGTTGAGCGCTGGGCTGTGAAGCTGCCCGCAGCCTCTGCAGCGCTGGTTCGATCCCAGCTGCTGGCGAGGGTCCCACATGGCGCGCAGACCTCTCCTGCTGCCCGCTGCTCCCCTCAGCAGTGTCTTTTGTCAGTCTGCCTGTCTGTTCCCCGCTCTGGTTCTGGTAAATTCTCTCACCCTCCTGCGCTTCTGGCTGTACCCAGTGCTTGTATTAATAAATGAATAAATCTTTTAAAAAAAATAGCATACTGACGCTTAATGTGTAAAACAAAGAGAAGCAAAACTTCTCTGTCTAGATAATCTGGGAAACTCAAGAGTCCAACATACTCTACCTCCCATCACCTCTTTGACAAATACACAAACTACTGAGAAACACTAAAAATACTGAGTTCTAGTTCTGATTCAGTCGGTAATTAACTGCATGAACTTGGATAAGTCACTTATCAAGTTGGCCAGGTCATTTTTATTATATGTAAAATAGACTAGGTCATTATATGTTCTTAAATCTTAGTACTTATTGGAATCACTTTGAAAGGTCAGCACCTTGAGATTGCAGTGCCTTATATCTAGAGATTATGATGTATCAGGTCTGCAGTGATTCTGGTGCAGATGATGAGAGACCACAGATCGAGAAATCCTTGACTAGATGTGTTCTATCTGGCTGTCACCATTTTTGTACCTCTACTTACCTAATCTATCTCCTCTATCCCAACTCTTTTAGATTCCTCCAGTGGTTTACTTTCACCACAATTTCCTCTTTAGTCAGCATAGTACCAGTTGCTAATGAACAAGCAGCATACTGAACAGGGGTCCTAGACCATCAAAAGTGAGCAGCACCTAGTCCTGATTAGATTACTGCCAAATAAGCTAAAACATTAAATGCCAGGACTAAAAATAGGCTGCTGTGTGTTTAAAATAATATGATCATTAGTTAGGTTGGGGCTCTGCTATTTTTACTAAAGGAAAGGCAGAGACAAGTGACCAGAGGTTGAAAGGGAGTATTTAAGTGAGGAGGCTGCTAAAGGAGGTGAGAGGTAGAAAGAAGCCAGGAGGTGGCACAATTGGTTCAACATGCATCAGGTGAGGTTCTCTGCGAGTTAAACTGAAAATTTTTTCTGAACACTCAGAAGAACATCCCAGACACATTTTTTTTAAATCTGGATTTGTTGCATGCTTAAACACAAAGTTGTAATATTACCCGATGGCTTAAACTAATACCAGATCAAAAAAGATAAAATTAAGAGAAGTTTCTCTATTTTTATTTTTGAACTTTTACTGAATTATGGTATACATATGTATACCATACATATGTATGATGTATTTTCATAAACTTGATGGATTTTCATAAACATCACATGCATGTAGCCAGCATGCAGAACAGTAACAACCATGCAGAAAAAAAACACTACCAGCAACCTAGAATTCCTTCTTCTCACCCTTTCCTATTAATACCTCCTTCCAAACAAGAACAGACATTAAGATAATTTCTATCATAGCTTTATTTTGCCTACTTTGGTACTAAATGCTAGTAATATTAAATGTACTCTATTGTGTCTAGTTTCTTATGTGAGTCATCAAGACTGTTACATATAAGCCTGTGAAGCTGTCCGAAGCCACTGCAGCATGAGTTCAATCCCCAGCAGGGGAGATTCCCACATGGTGCAGCAGACCTCTCCTGTCTTGCCCGCAGCTCCCCTCAGCAGTGTGTTTCGGTCAATCTGCCTGTTCTGTTCTACACTGTCTCTAATGGGTCCTCTTACCACCACCCCCACCTCTGGCCTGTGTCCCAGTTCTTGTATGCATAAATCAATAAATCTTTGGGAAAAAAAAAAACACTGTTGCATATAACTGTCTGTGTTGATTCTCACTGCTATCTCACCGATAGATAGCACTCCAGTGAATGAACATCCACAGTTTATCTATTCTTCTATTGACAGGCATTTGAAGAGTTTTCAGTTTGGAGCTAATATCAACATATCTGCTATAAACATTCTAGTATATATTTTTTGATGAACATATGTACACATTACAGTGAATATATTCCTAGAAGTCAAATTGCTGGTTCTCCTAAGTTCAGAGAAATGCATTTGCTGGATCTCTTTCCACCTCAGTAAAACTTCTAGGGGTTCAAGGATATGAGAGCTACGCCTCACGAGGTGAAAGAGAATCTGTTTTATTGGCTCCTCCTACAACCAAACAAGAGGCATAATGCCTAGTGAGCCTTTTTAGATTTCAGAGTCAACATGCTTCTCATTTGAGTATATTACTCCAGTTCACTTAGCAAATGACCTAAAAAATTGCTAGTTTTGAGAGGTCCCACAAGAGAAGGTTCTTACTGTACAAGATACTGTACCACTTGTACCATTTGATTCAGTCACTCTAATGATGCTGAAGTGATAGTGGCAAATAGAGATGCTGTTTGGAGCCTACAGACGAATCACAACACAGGGTCTCAAGATTTTAGAGCAAAGTCATGCCATCCTCTGTGGATAACTATTGTATTTTGAGAAATAGCTTTCAGCCTGCCACTGGGTCATGGTAGACATTGAACAAATAACCTTAGGCCACCAAGTTACAATGAGGGCTGAGCTGCCCATCATCAATTGTGTGTTGTGTGATACAGTAAGCCATAAAGTTGGTTGTGAAGAGCAGCTCTCTGTTACCAAATGGAAATGATATATACAATTTGGGCTCAAGCAGGCCCTGATGGCACAAGTAAATTACACTAGGCAGCGGCCCAAATGCCCATGGCCCCTTCTACTACTACATTACTGTCTCTCTTCCAATCTGCACATACGGCATGATGGGGAGGTCTCTAGGCTCACTTGACAGAGGAAAAGAAAACTTGGTTTACAGATGGCTCTGCATGAAATGGAGGTATATCTGAAAGTGGACAGCTATAGTACCTACAGTTCCTTTCTGAGATATTTTTGAAGGAATATGGAGAAGAGATATCTTCCAAATAGGTTAAACTTTGAGCAGTGCACCTGGTTATTTGCTTTGTTGCAGTGAGAAATGGCCAGATACCCGTATAAAAAACCAAAAACCAAAAACAACACAACGAGTGCCAGAAGGATGTGGAGAAAAAGGAACACTATTATTTTGTTGGTAGGACAGTAGAGTGGTCCAGCTCCTATGGAAAGAAGTGTGAAGATTACTCAAAAGACTAAAAATGAATTTACCATATGACTTAGTAATTCCACTTCTACATATCTACCCAAAGTACAAAAAATTACTAAATCAAAATTCCTATGTTTATAGCAGCACTATTTACAACAGCCAAGACAACCTAAATGTCCCAGAACAGATGAATGGATCAAAAAGATGTCGTACATATACACAATGGAATACTACACAATGTTCAGTAAAGATACTGATGCCATTTACACCAACAAGGATGAAATTGGAAGGGGTTAGTCTAAGTGAAGTGAACCAGAAGAAAGATAAATACCAGAGGGTTTCATTTATATGTGGAATCTAGAGGAAACTAAACAAAGGATCAAAGACAAACTGTAAGACTGACCCTTGAAATCAGACCATAGATAAGACATTCAGGAGGGGAGGGAGAAGGTGAGGAGGAGAGTTGATGACAGTGGGGAGGAGAGCGTGGTAGAGGGTAGTGGAAGACTGTGGCACGTAAGTAGTGGGAAACTATGGTGACTGCATTTGAGGGGAGAAATAGTATATTATGGAAAAAAAAGATGTTTAAAAACAAATAATTAAGTAAATAAATAATCATGAAATAGGTGCATTAAAAAAAAAGAGAGAGAAATGCCCAGATGTGTGATTCTATACCGATCACACAACAGTGGTTATATTCAAATTGTGACCAATAGTTTAACTGGATGGTCAGGAACTTGGAAGGAACATGATTGGAAAACTGGTCTCAAGGAAATTTAGAGCAGAAGCATGTGGACTCATCTCTCTGAATGGGCAAAACATGTGAAGATATCTGCATCTCATGGAAATTGTCACTAAAGGGTGATCTCAGCAGAGGAAGGTTTTTTTTGGGTTTTTTTTTAAGATTTATTTTTTTATTTATACAAGCACTGGGTACAGTCAGAAGCACAGGAGGGTGAGAGAATTCACCAGAGCCAGAGCAGGGAGCAGAGCAGGCAGAAGGATCGAAGTACACTGCTGAGAGGAGCAGTGGGTGGCAGGAGAGGTCTGTGCGGCATGTGGGACCCTCCTCCAGTGTCCGGGGAGCAGCCAGGGATCGAACCAGCGCTGCAGAGGCTGCAGGCAGCTTCGCAAGCCAGCACTCAACCACTGCGCCACGAGGGAGGCCCCAGAGGAAGGTTTTAATAGTGGATAAGATGACCTGTGCTGTGAACATCAGTTAGTCCTTTTCCCCAGCCCTGTAAATTCATGAACAAAACAAAGTGGTGATGTTGACAGGGAAAGAGGTTATATACAGGCTCAGCAAAATGGACTTCCACGCCCCAAGCTCAACCCTGGCTACATCCACTGCTGAGCACACAGCATGTCAGCAGTAGAGACTGACACCTAGTGCCCAGTATGCCACCATTCCACAGAGTCATCATTAGTTACTCGCGGCAAACTAATTATATTGAACTACTTCCAGCATGGAAGGGGCAGCATTTTGTTCTTCCAGGAATAGACACTTCATATGGATATGGACTTGCCTTCCCTGCATACAATGCATCTGCCAAAACCACCACCACAGGATTTACAGAATGTTTTATTCACCCATCATGGCATCAGCATTGCTTCTGATCAAAGAACTCACTTAGCAGCAAAAAGAGCACAGCAATAGGCTGCTACTCACAGAATTCACTAGTTTTATCATATTCCCCACCATCCTGAAGCAGGTTTGACAGGATAGTGAAATGGCATTTTGAAGACAAAGTTACAGTACCAGATAGGTGGCAACACCTTGCAGGACTGGGTAAGGTTTTCCAGAGGTTGTATATACTTAAAATTGTCATATATGGTGCCATTTCACCTTTAATTAGGATTCACAGGCCCAAATCAGGGGGTGGAAATGGAAATGGAATCACTCAATATTACTCCCTGGCAACTCTACTCCAAAATTTGTTTTAAAACATTATTACTCCCTGGCAAAATTTTTGCTTCCTGTTCCCATAAATTTATGCTCTGCTGGCCTAGAGGTCTTAGTTTCAAAGGAGGAATGTTTCCACCAGGCGACACAGCAATAATTCCATCCAGTTGGAAGTTAAAGCTGCCAACTGGCCACTTTTTCTCAAGTCTCAGAGTCAATAGGTGAAGAAGAAAGGTACTCTGCTGGCTAGAACACTGACTTGACTACCAACTGGAAACTGGACTACTACCCTACAATGGATGCAAGGAAAATTAAGTCTGAAATACAGGAGATCCCTTAGAGTATCTCTTAATATTACCATGTTAAAAGATCAATGGAAAACTACAAAACTATCAAAGCAGGTCTACTGATGGTTTACTGCAAAAAAGAGGATTTGTTTCACCCCAATATTTGAAAACCACTACAAGCTGAGGTGCTTGCTGAAAGCAGAAAGGATATGGAGCAGATAGCAGTGGAAGGCAGTTATAAATACCAGCTACAAACCATGTCTTATCTCTTCAAAAAAGTAGGCTCTGCATTCATACTACAGTACCTTGAGGAATATCTTTGGGAGGAGAGTATTTCTTCTTTAAAACAACACCTTTACTTTTCACTTGTCTAGTTCCTGGTGACGCTCTAATAATACAACATATTTCAGATGGATTTGAATGAAACTGAAAAAGAAAAAAGTAGATATTGTCTAATTCTTTCAGGTATTATATTTCTCTGCTCTTTTATTTCAAAGGCACATAGTCTCAATCTCCAAATTTCGTGGAAATTAACAATAGAAAGCATTTATGAAATGCTTACTCTAAAATTCATTTTAAAACATTGGCTTATTTAATATTCACAAGAACCAGGCAGGTCAGATTATATTATTGTCATTTTTTTAAAGATTTATTTATTTATGCATACAAGAACTGCGGTATAGACCAGAGGTGCGGAGAGTGGAAAGGATTCACCAGAGAAAGACTGGGGAGCAGAACAGACAGATGTACTGAAATACACTGATGAGGGGACCAGCAGGCAAGACAGAAACAGTCTTCTGCACCATGTGGGTAGCACCCTGGTTAGGATCAAACTCATGCTGCAGTGGCTGGCAATAGTTTGATAGTATTGAGACTAACCCTGTGCCACCAGGGAAGCTCTAATTTTTAAAAAAGATTTATTTATTTATGCATACAAGAACTGGGGTAATTGCCAGAGATGCGGGGGTTGAGAGGAGTCACCAGAGACAGAGTGGGGAACAGAAACGGCAGTCTGACTGAAATATACTGCCGAGGGGAGCAGCGGGCAAGACAGGAGAGGTCTGCTGCACCATGTGGGTTTCTCCCTGGCTGGCCGGGGATTGAACTCGTGCTGCAGAGGCTGTGGATTGCTTCATAGTGCGGTGCTTAACCCCTTGCGCCACCAGGGAGGCCCAGGGAGGCCCTATTGTCATTTTTTAAACAAGGAAACTTAAGTTCAGAAAAGGTCAGATATCTTATTTAAGCATGAAAGAAAGTAATGATAGAGTTGACATTTCTCTGACAGCAGTCGGAGAAAAAGTTTGCATTATTTACTGAATTGAAACACAAATTTAAATTTAATTCTCAAACACCAGATTTCCCAACCCAGATAATTTTGACAATTTTCCCCATAAGCAGACAATCTATAAAATACTTTATTTCCTAGAAATAACAAATCGTGGGTCTCTCTGGTGGCGCCAGGGGTTAAGACGCAACCTATGAAGCTATCCGCAGCCACTGCAGCACGAGTTCGATCCCCGGCCAGGGAGCTACCTACTTGATCCCCAGCCAGGGAGCTACCCACTTGGCACAGCAGGCCTCTCCTGACTTGCCTGCTGCTCCCCTCAGCAGTGTATTTCAGTCAATCTGCCTGTTCTGCTCCCCACTCTGTCTCTGGTGAATCCTCTCACTCCCCACATCTCTGGCCTGTACCCCAGTTCTTGTATGCATAAATAAATAAATCTTTGAAAAAAAAAGAAATGATAAATCTTGCTGTTTAGAACTCAGACATAAAAAGATATGTATTTATCAAGGGCTCCTCCCATTTTAAGTAAAGCCTATATAGACATCTCTTCTGTAAAATTCAAATCATCATCTGTGGTGGACATCTATTTTTTTTGCCAGCACTCATTTTCTAACCTTCTGTCATTGAACAGTATCACAGTTTTCTTGGTAAAACTCTACTCATCCTCTCATCCTTCATACCACCCCTTCCTTATGAATGATAATACTTAGTCCCAGATTGATACCAAACTCTAGCTAGAGCTAGTAGAAACTGAAAAAAAAAAAAAAAAAAAAACCCTCTTAGGAGAATGGGTCTCCAATTTAAGTGCATAAAATTCTTATCACATAAGGGCCTCCCCGGTGGCGCAGCGGTTGAGCGCTGGGTTGCAAAGCTGCCCGTGGCCTCTGCAGCGCCGGTTCGATCCCCGGCCGCTCCCCGGCCACCGGAGGAGGGTCCCACATGGCGCGCAGACCTCTCCTGCCGCCCGCTGCTCCCCTCAGCAGTGTACTTTGATCCTTCTGCCTGCTCTGCTCCCCGCTCTGGCTCTGGTGAATTCTCTCACCCTCCCGCACTTCTGACTGTACCCAGTGCATGTATAAACAAAAAACAAACAAACAAATAAATAAATAAATAAAAAATAAAAACATGCCTCTATTAAAAAAAAATATTAAAAAAAAAATTCTTATCACATAAGATCAAGAAAATAAATGATCAGGATAGACATCAAGTATTCTTTAAGATTCAGCTTACAATAGTTCCAAGCAGATATGACAGACAAAATTCACCTTAGCTCCCCCTAAAATTTCATTACAACAGTAACGAGAAAGTATCAAACTTACAAGAAAACAAGCTACCATGGGTATGACTGTATAGAAATGTCAAACAATGAACTTAAGCCCCTGAACATCTTATATTAGAAATATCACATTAAAACAGAATAAAAATGTATGAAATTATCAAAGAATTAATTAAAATCTCATGAATGTGGAAACAATGAGATTATCAAAAATGAAAAGTCCTTTGAGAAAGAAACTAGGACTTCTTGAAAGGAAAAATAAAATAATTGAAATAAAAAATCCACTAGCACTAGACACTTTTACAGAAAAAAATACTGAAGAAATTACCCAGAATACAACAATTAAATGAAAAAAAAAGAGAAAGCTTGAAAGATATGGAGGACAGAAAGAGGCCTAACATTTGCTAATTACCATTCCAGAGAAAACAACTAAGAAATTCCCAAGTTGATGTGAGACATGAGCCCAAAGATTCAGACCTAAAATCCCAAGCAAAATTAGAATTAAGGTAGAGCAGCTAACAAAAATATGAATCCATTTATATACCCACTCCAGTAAAATTATGGCACACCCAAAATAAGGAGAACTTAAAAGAAGCCAGAAATAAAAGATCTACAGTCACCATGGCCACCCTCAGGCACAATGCTTCACTAGAAGTACAGAGAAGATAGATACAGAAAAGATGCTTTATTCAGTTATAACTTCCTACGGCAAAAGAATACAAATTAAGATGAGCAAAGGGAAAAGGCACAAAGGGTAGAGGCCAGGAGAAAAGGCATAGAGGCTGAATCCCAGAGGACAAGCTTTCAGTTATCATCTCCTAGATGAGTCATATGGACAGCATATAATACTCCCATGTGCAAAGTGTTGCCAATTAGGGAAATTCAGCAAGCCTTGATATTAGGGTATTTTTCTGTAGTCAGACACAAACACAAACAGTCCTACATGACTGATCTCATTGCTCAGATGTCAGTCCCCAGAGGTCAAACTGATATGAGATGGTCCAAAGGCCACAGGTATCGAAAATAGGTATTCACCATAAATCAAATTTTAGCATAAAGTACCTGACATATTTCAGGACATACGGAGATGATGAGGAGGGAAGTACTGAAGAAATTACCAAACTATAACAAATTAATGAAAGGCAGAATATGCCAAAACTCACAGGTCATTTCCTAATAGCCTTGCCATAGGCTAGTTCTGAGGACCTTGGGAATGCACAGACCTGCTGAGTTAACCCTTCCTTGCATATATATAATTTGCAAGTAAATGACAAGCTAACAGCAAAGTTGTGACAGCAAGATGGAACTCAAAAGACAGTGGAAAGCTACCATCAAAGAGCAGAGAGAAAAATGTCAAGATGGAAGTAATATACCCAATAGATAGGGGGAAAATTAGGAAGAAACATATTCACATCATAACAAACTAGAAATAGAAGGAAAGTTTTTAACCACATAACTGTGGTCCTGAGTATTGTTTCTCAATGATTTTTGGTTTTTCTTGGAGAAGTTACTTCCTGGCACCCTTGTGGTTCAGTGAGACCATGTGATATACTCGACAATGAGTTTTGAGCAGAAGGAATGAATATAACTTCCAGGTCAGAACATTTAATTGCCAATGTAAGACCTTTTGAACTTTTTTCCCCCTGGCATAGTTTCTAGGTGATTATCCTGACAACTACAGTTCAGTCAATTCAGTCGAAGTATAGCATGATCAAGAAATATTCCTATGCCACTTTAGCCACTACTATTTTCAAGTTATTTGTTAGCATAATTTACCATGATTAGTATAAATTATCTATAAAATAAGAAAACTTATAATAGAAATGAGAATTTCAAAGAGATATTAACATTTCCCTGTTCATCGCACCACTGTTCACAATAGCCAAAATGTAGAAACAACAAATGAAGGGATTCCTCAAAAGGGGGAAAAAAAAATAATAGGAGGGCCTCCCTGGTGGTTCAAAGGGTTAAGAAGCAACCTATGAAGCTATCCACAGCCACTGCAGAACAAGTTCAATCCCCGGCCAGCAAGCTACCTATATGGCCTGGCAGACTTCTGCCTCGCCTGCTGTTCCCCTCAGTAGTGTATTTCAGTCAGTCTGCCTGTTCTGTTCCCTAATCTGTCTCTGGTGAATCCTCTGACCAACCCCCCCCCCACACACACACCTCTGGCCTATACCCCAGTTCTTATATGCATAAATAAATAAATCTTTTTTAAAAATTGGAGTATACATTGGAGTATTATTCAGCTTTTAAAAAGGAAGGAAATCTTAAACTACAGTACAACATGGATGAACCAGAGGATATTATGTTAAGTGCAATAAGCCAGTCATGGAGGAAAATTTAGTCCATTCAAATTTCTTCTCTCTACCAAAGATGGTGCTGCTTAAGTTTTTGCCTCCTCGCTTCCCACTTTTCCCCAACTTATTCCCTAAAGTACTGACACAAGAACATCTAATAATCATCTCCTGTTCACAATCCTTTATTTGCCCCTCTTAGGAAAAAAACTGAAATTCTTCAATACGGATTTAAGACTCTTTAAGATGAACAGCTTTCTCTTCACCACCCAGTTCCCCATCCTCACTCCAGAAACATCAAAAATATCTAGCTACACTGAACTACAAAGCATCATTAAAGCTCTGCCTCTTTATTTCTTTTTCTCTTTCCCTTTTTGTCTTACTCTCTCTGTGTCCCTACTCTCCTTTTCTCTGTCTCTTTCTCTTTCCTTCCCCTGTCCCTCTGTTCTTTCTCTGTTCATTGCCTCTCTTTACTACCATTCCAAACCCATGGCTCTTTGTCATGAGTCTTATGTTTTCTTCATTACTATAACATAGTACTCCCATATATTTATCTTAGCATAATGTGGCTGGTGACCACAATTTATATGTACAGACAAAAAAATGAATTTTGGATCAAAATACTGTTTTCTCTAGTTGTTTAATATTCCCAAGATCTGATAATGTGAAGTGTTTTGGTTATAGCAGCCTAATATCCTTTATTTAATATTATAACTGATCTACATCATTTGCATGTAGATGATGTTAGCCTTACTTAAGTTTCATACTTCTTATAATATCACATATGCAACATATTTAATATAACAACAATAATTTATTTCAGTAAACTGAAGAAAAATTGAAAATACTACCTTATTTGAAGAATTTTCTTGCAAACTTGACACAGGAACGATTTCATTTGAATTAACATAATTGCTGATATTTGGAAATAGTTCTTCGAAAGATGTATTTTTAACTGGGGACAAATCAATCTATAAAGAAGATTATAATACTCTTTAGCTTTAAAATTATTTTTAAATAGGAATTTTTGTTTGCTACAGCATCATGTGATTTTTTTTCCTATTTGTTCATCCAACAAAGATTTATCAAGTGTCTCCTACATGAAACACATCTACTCAGTAACTATTCCTCCTGGAAAAATATCACCAGTTCTTCCCTTAAATTTCAGCCTTTCGTAGTGTTCTACCCTTGACTTCTTTTTGCCTACCAGAGATTTTTAAATTTCTAATACAGAACTCATTCCTGAACACCATATCCATATCTCTATCAGAAATCACCACCTTTTTCTACATTAAATTCAAAATGTTTACAAAACTTGTGATCTATAATCTCTAGGCTGGGATTCCAAAAGGCGTTGGCAACTTGACCAGCTAGATCTGACTAGAATAATCTGGACTGAACCTGCCAGACCACATATGTGGATGCCTAGAATGGACTGTCAGAGCTGTACTGGGTAAAGGGACTTGGGGGAGGGAAGGCTGAACTTGCCTAGTTACTATCCCATTTAGGAGAACAGAACAATTTCATGCCAATCCATGTGTATCTTGGAACAGTGTTAGGAAGCTCATATTAAAGCGAGACCCTGAAAAAATGAAAACTTCTCCAAGTCCTCAGGTCAACTAATTTTTTTTAAGGCTGACCAGCCAATGTCTGATAACATATAATTGAGGGGTCTCTACAGGTCATTAGGTGGAAGCAAATAGTGGACTGAGCCAAAGGGCCATTAGTTTCAGACTTATTTTGTATCAAAATGTAGACCTTAAATGTCAAGCCATTCAAACTACATTACAAAGCTAAAATAATCATAACAGGATGACACTAAAACAAAAATAGACACATAGACAAATGGGATAGAATTGAGAGGCCAGAAATAAACCTATCTCTACATGGACAGTTACAACAAAGGAGTCAAGAATATACACGGGAGCAAGGAAAGCCTCTTCAATAAGTGGTGTTAGGAAAACTGGACAGCCACATGCAAAAGAATGAAACTAGGGCCTCCCCGGTGGCGCAGCAGTTGAGCGCTGGGTTGCGAAGCTGCCCGCAGCCTCTGTAGCGCCGGTTCGATCCCCGGCTGCTCCCCAGCCACCGGAGGAGGGTCCCACATGGCGCGCAGACCTCTCCTGCCGCCCGCTGCTCCCCTCAGCAGTGTACTTCGGTCCTTCTGCCTGCTCTGCTCCCCGCTCTGGCTCTGGTGAATTCTCTTACCCTCCCGCACTTCTGACTGTACCCAGTGCTTGTATAAATAAATAAACAAACAAACAAACAAACAAACAAAAAAAAAAAAGAATGAAACTAGACCACTATCTCACACCATATACAAAAATCAATTCAAAATAGAAAAGGCTTGGATGTAAGATCTGAAATCATAAAATATATATAAGAAAACATAGGCAAAACACTCCATGATATAGGCTTCATAGATGTCTTTTTGGATTTGTCTCCAGCAGCAAGAGTAACAAGAGAGAAAAAAAATAATTGGGACTACATCAAACTAAAAGGTTTCTGCACAGCAAAAGAAACTCAATATAACCAAAAGATACTCTGAAGAATGGGAGAAAGTATTTATACAAAATACATCTGACTAGGGGCTAAAATCAAAGATCTATAAAGAACTCATACAAACAAAAAGAAAACAAATAACCCAATCAAAAAAATGGGGCAGAAAAGCTAAATAGGCAGTTCTCCAAAGAGGACATACAGATAGCCAACAGGCACACGAAAAGATGTTCAACTTCACTTATTATCAGGTAAATGCAAATCAAAACTACAATGAAATACCAACTCGCATCTGTGACAATTGTCTATATGAAAAAGAACAGAAACAAGTGCTGGTGAGGATATAAGGGTAAAAGGAACCCTCTTACACTGTTATGGGAATGTAGACTGGTTCAGCCCTTATAAAAAACAACATGGAGGTTTCTCAAAAGACTACAAATGGTGGGCCTCCCCGGTGGCGCAGCGGTTGAGCGCTGGGTTGCGAAGCTGCCCGCAGCCTCTGCAGCGACGGTTCGATCCCCAGCTGCTCCCCGGCCACCAGAGGAGGGTCCCACATGGCGCGCAGACCTCTCCTGCAGCCCGCTGCTCCCCTCAGCACTGTACTTCGGTAATTCTGCCTGCTCTGCTCCCTGCTCTGGCTCTGGTGAATTCTCTCACCCTCCCGCGCTTCTGACTGTACCCAGTGCTTATATAAATAAATAAATAAATCTTTAAAAAAAAAAAAAGACTACAAATGGATCTACCATATATCCCAGAAATTCCACTCCTATGTGTCTACCAGAAAAATACAATAATATTAATTCAAAAAGAATCATGCATTCCCATGTTCACTGCATCATTATATATAAAAGCTAAGCTATGGAAACAACCTAAGTGCCCAAATACAGATGAATGGATTAGTAAAATGTGATATACGGATACAATGAAACACTACTCATCTATCAAAAAAGATAAAATCTTGCCATTTGTGGGAACTTGCATGGAGCTGGAGGGCATTATGTTAAGTGAAATAAATCAGAAGAAGAAAGACAATTACCAGATGGTATCACTTATATGTGGAATATAAAGAAAACAAATGGTCAGATGAAGTCAAACTAAGAACTAACATTAGAAAGCTGACTACAGAACTGAGGCTACCTGAGAGGAAAAAGGAGAGGGTGGGGCAAGAATAAGGTGTGGAGGAATTACACTAGGTGTGGAGGAAGTGGACTCTGGGTTTCTTGGTTAGGTGTGATGTGGTAACACCACCTGGTGGGGGAGATCCTATACTATTAATACACAAACAACGTAAACCAACGTTAGAGCAAAACAAAATTAAAAAGAATAAAAAGAAAATTTAAAAAAGAAAAAAATGTCATGCTATTAAAAGTTCTTAAAAGTATTTTATTAAAAGATACTAGTCTTTACAGAATGGGAGAAAATATTTGCAAATCATCTATCTCATAAGGATTTAATATCTAAACAAAATAAAGATACAACTCAACAAAGACAAATAATCTAATCAAAAATGGGCAAAGAATATGTGTCGACACAAATGGCCATCAAACCCAAATGCAGGGCCTCCCCGGTGGCGCAGTGGTTGAGCGCTGGGTTGCAAGGCTGCCTGAAGCCTCTGCGGTGCCGGTTCGATCCCCAGCTGCTCCCCGGCCACTGGAGGAGGGTCCCACATGGCGCGCAGACCTCTCCTGCCGCCCGCTGCTCCCCTCAGCAGTGTACTTCGGTCCTTCTGCCTGCTCTGCTCCCCGCTCTGGCTCTGGTGAATTCTCTCACCCTCCCGCGCTTCTGACTGTACCCAGTGCTTGTATAAATAAATAAATCAATCTTTAAAAAAAAAAAAAAAAAAAACCCAAATGCAAAGTCACAACAAGATACCACTCATTTTTAGGTGTACCTATAAAGAAGATGCCAATAATTGTTGGTAGAATATGAACAACTTAGGACACTCACATAATGCTGCTGGGAATATAAAATGGATCAACCATGTTGGAAAACAGTCTAGCATTCCTCGAGTGATCAACCATAGAGTTACCATGAAACTCAGCAATTTTACTCCTAGGTATACCCAAGAGAAAAGAGAACAAATATCCAGACATAACCCTTTTTAACTGAATGCCTACAGCAGCACTATTCATAATAGCCAAAAGGCTCTCAACAAAATGAACTATTATTTGGCAATGAAAAGAAAAAAGTACTATAATATGGATGAAACTTCTATGGTACACAGAAGTACCATATGTACATATGGTACATACTATAATATGGATGAAACTTCATGCAAAATGACAGATGCCAGTCACAAAAGACCCCATTCATAAAAAATGTCAATCTCTATAGAGATGGAGAGTATACTGTTGATTACACAGGGCTGAATCGTTGGATGGAGAAATAAGTCTGTAACAGATGAACTGAATGAGGCTTCTTTTTGAGGTGATAAAAATGTTCTAAAGTTGACTGTGGCAATGATTGCACATATCTGTGAATATACTAAAAACCAGTAAAGTTTAAACTCTAAATAGGTAAATTATATATCACATGAATTATACCTCAATAAAGCTGTTATTAACAGTAATTCCCAAAAAAGTATCAGTTACCATGTGACCCAGCAATTCTGTTGCCACTTCCAGGTGTATATACAAGGAAGAAGAAACATATGTTCACATGAATGTTCATAGCAATATTATTCATTCCAAATTACTGATCAATTAGTGAATTAAATGTGAATATTAAAAAACTGTGAATATTCTTATAGTGAGATATGATTCATCCATTAAAAAAGCAGGATACCATTCATCCATTATATTCATGCTATAACATGGATGAACTTCAAAAATATGCTAAGGGAACTTTTGTTCATCAAAGGACACAATTAACAAAATGAAAAAGTAACCAAAAGAATGGGGGGAAATATTTGCAAACCATTTATCTGATAGGAGTGAATATCCAGCACATATAAAGAGTTCCTACAATTCAACAACAAAAAAGTAAATAATCTGATAAAAAATGGGCAAAGGACTTGAACAGACGTAACTCCAAAGAGTTATGGCCAGTAAGCATGGGAAAAGATGTTCAATATCACTAGCCACAATGAGATACCATCTCACTTGTGAAGATCAGTATTATTATTTTAAAAGAACAACAAATGTAGGCAAGGATGTGAGAAATTGAAACCCCTGAATATTGCTGGTAGGAATACAAAATAGTACTATTTTTATGGAAAACAGTATGGCAATTTCTCAAAATAGTAAAATGAGAATTGCCATGTGATCCAGCAAATCCTCTTCTGGGTTTATAACCAAAAGAATGGAAAACAGGGACATGAAGAATTATTTACATACTCTTATATTAGTAGCAGCAGTATTCACAATAGCCAAAGGTGGAAACAACACATATATTCTTAGACAAATCAAGGGAATAAACAAAGTGTGGTATATATAGTCAATGGGATATTATTTAGCCTTAAAAAAAGGACGAAAATTCCGACACATGCTACAAAATGGATGAAATCTGAAGACACTGTGGTAAGTGAAATAAGTTAGACACAAGAGGACAAATGTATGATTACATTTATATGGAGTACCTAGAGCAATCAAATTCAAAGAGAAATAAGGTAAAATGGTGCTTATCAGGAATTGAGGGAGACAGGATTGGGGAGTTATTGTTTAATGGGAATGGAGTTTCAGTTTTGCCAGATAAAAAATGTCCTGCATATGGATGGTGGCAATGTTGACACAACAACATGAATGTATTTGAATCATTCACTGGACAATGGTTAAAATGGTGAACTTTGTATTTTGTATTTAACTTTACTACAAGGAGAAGGTACAGTGGAGGAGGGGGAAGAGGAAAAGAACCCTGGCTAGTGCTGTAGTATTTTAATCTTTCTTTCATTTATGTATAGCAGTATACAGAATACTTCTAGTGAAAATGCCTCTATATAACAGAAAAATGCAGAAAGTAAAATCTCTTTGCAATACTTCCTGATGTGACAGAAATATAATAATGGGAAGGAGGGGGAGCCAGAAAATAGATATTACAAATTCCAAAGGCTAACACTTACCACTAAACCAGCTGTTTGGGAAGATGGAGTACTTGTTAACAGGCCTCTGCTTTTCTTATCAGGAGTACTGGAATTTATTTTCTATCAATATTTTGTGGAAAAGGGGATTGAAAAGCAGAAAGAAATAAACTATTTTATGCAGTATAAAAATGCAATTTAAAATTAATAGATATCATAATGTGTCATATTTATAAAAATTTTATTTGCTAATTAAATTTCAAACTACTACATAGGCGCCTAAGGAATATATTGACTTGAGAATTCTATGTGGCACAAATATATGAGAATACTTTGGTTGAAATCACTATTATTTTAGGGAAAAAAGCTAATTAAAGTTTTTATTTAGGAGGGCCTCCCTGGTGGTGCAGCAGGTTGAGCGCTGTGCTGTGAAGCTGTCCGCAGCCTCTGCAGTGCCGGTTCGATTCTCGACCTGCCAGGGAAATACCCACATGGTGCGGCAGACCTCTCCTGTCTCGCCTGCTGCTCCCCTTAGCAGTTTTTGGTCTGCCTGCCTGTTCTGCTCCCCGCTCTGTCTCTGGTGAATTCTCTCACCCTCCCTTTCTTCTGGCCTGTATCCTAGTTCTTGTATAAATTAAAAAAAAAAATCTTAAAAAAAAAAAGTTTTGATTTAGGAAATGGTGCTTTTATTATCTTTGTTAACTGCCAAGAAAAGCATGTTACTTCTATCATTTGATTCCTAGTATATTATTGTATTTTTTTTATGGAAAGGGATTATTTCTAGAGCTGTTAAAACCTATATATAGCAAGAATTGTATAAAATGTGTAAGTTTAAATGCACATAGGTATTTCATTTACGGAACATCAAGCTAAAGAAATTATAAAATAGGATACACAATGGATTTCTATTTCTTGATGATGCAAAGAGGAAGACAGAGGGACAAGTTGATAAGTAAAGGAGGTGAGAGTGACAAGAAAGACAAGAAGAGAGAACTGATAAGTTTGAGAGAGACAAAGGACAGACTGGGAGAGGAGGGTGATGGGTGAGGAGAGGAGGAGGAGGAAGAACAGGAGCCTGATGAAGGATGGGGAAACAGACGGCAGTGGAAGAGAAAGCGAGGAAGCCAAAGAAGAGAGAGATGGAGAAGACAGATCAACAGAGACCAGGAGTAGAAAGACAGAAAGATTGACAGAGAAACAGTCAGAGAGACGAAGGGCAGAGAGAGAGCATGAAATCAAGACAGATAAAGGTGATGAAAGAGAAAGAGTTTGTAACTGAGAGACAGTACCTGGGAGAGCAAAGACGAAGCAAGAAGAACAGAGTAACAGAATGATAGAGATTTGTCAAAGAATGGAAGACAAGTAGCTTTATTTCTAGCAATCAGCTGTCTTTTCAGCTTTTAGAGTCCACGAGACAATTATGTTGCTCTGATAAATCTCTTTGAACTGGTGTCTATTATATGTTGTCAAGCTGGGAACCTAAAATCCGTTAAAACTTAAACATAGGAAAGTTTATATTAGATTTATTTTTTCTTTCTTTCCTCTCTGCCTTTGTTTCACTCTTTTCTCTCTGGGGCTTAATATCTCTTAAACTAGTTGTTTGTTCAAGACATAATCTGGAATGATTTATTAGGAAAATTTTTATCAAAAAAATTGTATGGTTAAATTTACCTGGTACACTGAATATATTGTCTTTCTAATTTATTAGCCATATAATCTTTTAACTTCTTCATCTGAACAATGGTGATTACTCTACCCCTAGAAATTGTTGTGCAAAGTCTACACAGTATTATATGTAAAAAAGAGCTTGGAGAATGATAATAATGATAGCTAATGATAATAATATTATCATTATTATCCTTGTGGCAGTCAAAGAGGTGTGATGTTCACATTTCCTAGAACAAAGAAACTATCCAGCTACAGTTATTCTAAGAAACTCTCTGATCCACTGCAAGGAGAGCATTTATCCTATAACCTGCACTGCAACATCTTTAGAATCTGCTTCAGCTTTCTGTTTAGGGCAATCATCTTCTTGGGTAACCCTCAGCCAACTGCCAACGTCTGAGAATATCAGGCCAATATTAGATTCTTGAATTGGAATCTTTATTCCATACCTTCACACTGGGAGAGCTTCTGTTAGATCTACATTGAGGACTAAGACTATTCCTGCCCAATCCTGCTTCCTTGCTGCTTTCGCTTCTAAGGTATTATCCCTTCCAATACCACTTGACCTGTTTAATCCCATCTCAGTGTCTGCTTCCCAGTGGTCCCAATTAACACAATTATCAATTATAGTCCATTTTAAAAACCTCTACCTAAATACAGCTGTAAGCATATAACTTCTCTGTATTTTTCCTAGATTTGTTAAGAAATTTTACATATTTAAGTCTTCCCAAAGTATATTTTCTTTTTATAATCTTTTCGAGAATTGCTTAATGAGGATCCTCCCTGGTGGTACAAGGGGTTAAGTCTCAGCACTATCAAGCTATCAGAAGCCACAGCGGCACCAGTTCAATCCCTGGCCAGGGAGCTAACCCATATGGTGCAGCAGACCTCTCCTGTCTCACCCACTGCTCCCCTCAGCACCCACTGTATTTCAGTAGACCGCCTGTTCTGCTTCCTACTCGGTCTCTGGTCAATCCTCTCACCTCTCACTCCTCTAGCCTACCCCCCAGATCTTGTATGCAAATGAATAAAATAAATCTTTAAAAAAAAAAAGAATTACTTAATGAAAGATCAGAGCTTACCAATACAGGTTCCAGGGGCTGAGGCAGTAGAACTTTGGTAACTGATTTATCTGCATTACTTTCAAAAACATGCTTCTGGTGAGATGATGGAACCTTGAATTTTAGATGAGAACTTAACATTGTCTGAAAATCTGTATCACTAGGTTCCGGATATTTTTCAGGCTGAAACAAATTCAGAATCATGAGATACATTTCACAGTTCTGTAAAAACATTTCTAGCACTTATCAGATATTCTATTTTTACTGTAAAATATATACACATTACATTTATTACTATCAAAATAGGACATCTATATATGCATATATAATTCTATTTCTTTCCTCAATGTGAAAAATATTTCAAAGATAAATGTTTTTCTCAAAAAGGAAAGATTTTCTATATAGTTGAGGGAAAAAACTAGAAAGACAAAAGAGTTTGAAACATACTCAGCTCAAAAAATTTCCCTATGTGTTGTGGTGATATGTATCTGAGGAGGTCTGTGCCTTTGAATCACATACAGTGTTGTAAATCAATGTTACCTCAATAAAAAAAAATAATAAAAATAAGTGTTAAAAAAATTTCCCTACCACATTTAAGGTAACAAACCCCAAAAAGAGTTCTATGAAAACAAACGACAATGAGATCTATCAATATTTTAAACAAAATTTTAGAGAAAATGTTACATAAGTTTATACAAACATCTTTTTTTTTTTGTATTTATTTATTTTTTTTGTTTTTGTTTTTGTTTTTTTTTATTGTTATATTCCCCATACAATTGCAGCCCCCCCATTCTGACCCAATCCCTCCCCTCCCGCCCCCGCCCCCCTAAAAGTGTCTCTGGTTCATAGTTTTTTGTTGATTTTGATTTTCACTTTCTTATAGTTATTCATTTTCCTGGTCCCTTATTTAAGTTTTCTAGATTCCTGCTATGAGTGAGACCATCCGGTATTTTTCTTTTTCTTTTTGGCTTATTTCGCTGAGCATGATCCCTTCCAGCGCCATCCATGTTGCTGCAAATTGCATGTGTTTATCTTTTTTGAATGCTGAGTAATATTCCATGGTATATATGTGCCACATCTTCTTGATCCAGTCATCTATTTTTGGGCATTTGGGTTGTTTCCAAAGCTTAGCTATTGTAAACAGTGCTGCTATAAACATAGGGGTGCAGGTGTTCTTTGGAATTGATGTTTCTGTGTCCTTTGGGTAAATACCTAGGAGTGGAATTGCTGGATCATATGGAAGCTCTATGTTTAGTAGGTCCAGAAATCTCCACACAGCTTTCCATAGTGGTTGGACCAGTTTGCACTCCCACCAACAGTGCAGAAGAGTTCCTTTTTCTCCACACCCTCGCCAACATTTGTTGTTGCTAGTTTTTTTAATATGTGCCATTCTCACTGGTGTAAGATAGTATCTCATGGTAGTTTTGATTTGCATTTCCCTGATGACAAGTGATGTTGAACATTTTTTCATATGCCTGTTGGCCATTTGCATTTCCTCTTCAGAGAAGTTTCTTTTTAGCTCTTCTGCCCATTTTTGGACTGGATTATTTTCTTTGTTGTTGTTGAGTCTCATCAGCTCTTTGCAGATTTTTGTGATCAGTCCTTTATCATTAGTGTTGGGTGCAAAAATGTTCTCCCAGTTGGTGGGGTTTCTCTTTGTTTTTGTTATTGTCTCTTTTGCTGTGCAGAAGCTCTTTAATTTGATGTAGTCCCAGCTGTTTATCTTTGCCTTCACTATCACTGCTTTGGGTGATGTGTCTGTAAAGATGTCTTTGATGTGCAAATCACGTAGTGTTTCGCCTATATTTCCTTCTATATATTTTATGGTTTCAGGTCTTATGTCTAGTTCTTTAATCCATTTTGAGTTGATTTTTGTGTACGGTGTGAGGTAGTGGTCAAGCTTCATTCTTTTGCATGTAGCGACCCAGTTTTCCCAGCACCATTTATTGAACAAACTTTCTTTGCTCCAATGCATAGTCTTTGCTCCTTTATACAAACATCTTTATTATGTAATGATCTTCATTTAGGAAACCAAAAGTTCTCTTTTGGTTCTTTCTTTTGGAAAGAAAGTGTGCTCCATTACCAACTAATCCTGCACTGTACATTCAGACGGTTCACAACTGTTTGTCTTAGGTTAATTAACTTGTCTTATGCTTTCAAGATGTATTTATAACATTCCAAGTTTAAGTTTATTCAACATAACTGAAGAGGTGTAACTTGAGTGGGATGCTGAAAAAAATGGCACAATTTTGAGTTAGGAGTTGGGGGTTAAGAGAATAGTTAAGCAAACAAAAGAAAGAAGAAGAGGTATAAGGTTTAAAGCTATATTCCCTGCAAAGGAAAGAACAGGGAATGGAGCAAAGAGTGACATTTACTCGCATCTACAGACTGCTTGTATACTGACTTTTCTTTCAATTCATGTCATCTTCAGCAATTTCATTATCCAGGTTGATCCTCATGAAATATGCTCCCTCTTCATTGGAAAATTCAATTTTCTGATTCCACCATCTTAAATTCATTCATTATGCTTCTGATATCTTATTTCTTCCTTATCTACTACCATCCATCATTATAATTACTTTCCAATTCCTTTCTTTTTTTCTATCACAGTGGCCTGACAAACCCCCAGCCCTAGAAGAACCCTGATAGCAGTATCCCCTGAAGTTTCAGTAGAACAGGGTGTTAGAAAACATTATACAATCTGGCACAAGAAATTCACCACAAACTCAAAAGGAGTAGCCACAGACTGGCAACTCTACTATTCTTCTCTAACATGTCATACACCATTTTCCTTAAACTTTTAGCCTCCTTTTCTCTACCATTTTTAGCAGATATCCTTGAAACAAAAGAAGACAGTAAACAGGGTGTCATCACTTTGGACTCCTAATTTTGGAGACCCAATAAAATGAAAATTGTTTAAAATTTTATTAAAAATTTCAAGATGGCAACAGCAGAGCATTCAATGAAGTGCGGAGTCCTCTTAAACACAAAACCAATCCTGCCACCACTCCATCTACAAATGTACCACAATGGAAGTATCCCTCCACTTTTAAAGGCTGCTTCTCCCATGTGTATTCTGAATCCCTTCATCCTCATCTTTGCAAGAACCTTATTTCTATAGGAAAGTGGTTTTTAAAACTGATTTAATGAGATAAAATTCACATACCATAAAATTACTCAGTTAAAATATAAAATTCAATGGTTTTTAGTTTATTCACAGGGTTGTACAGTCACCAACACAGCCTAATTTTAGAACATTTTTGACCCCATGAAAAGAAAGCTTATAGCCATATGGAGATTCCTTAAAAAATTAAAGATAGAACCATATGATCCAGCAATCCCACTCCTGGGTGTATACACAAAGCAAATGAAAATAAGTTATCGAAGAGGTACCCTCCCTTCTGTGTTCATTGCAGCATTAGTCACAATAGTTAAGATACAGAAACAATTTCAGTGTCTATCAATGAATCAATGGATAAAAAAGATGTGATCACTCTCTCACATGTGCACACATACACTCACACACACACACAGAGGAATATTATTTAGCCACAAGAAAGTAGTAATTCTGACATTTAGAACAACTTGGACCTTGAGAGCATTATGCTGAGTAAGGCAAAAGTTAAAGAGTATGGCATCATTTTTATATGAAATCTTTAAAAAACAGTCAAACTTACATAAAATGGAGTAGAAAAGATTTGCTAATGGCTGGATGGGGGGGTATAAAAGAAGCTAGTAAAAGAGTATAAATTTTCAACTCTGAGATGAATAAAGTCTGAATAATGGTGACTATTGTGAAGTTGATAACACTGTATTATATAATTGAAATTTGATGAAAGAGTAGAACATAAATGTCCTCACCAAACAGAATGAATGAATGAATGAATAAGATGATAAATATGTTAATTCACCATATGGGGGAATCCTTTTGCAACATATATGTATATCAAATGCCCACAATGTACTCCTGCAATTTGTCAATTTCATTTCAATAAATCTGAAATATAAAAATTATGCATTTCTTGTAAACACATAGTTGGGTCGTGTTTTTTTGAGCCATTCTGACGATCTCTGTTTTTTAATTTGTGCATTATATTAGTTATCTTCCTAACATTAAGTGATTATTAATATAGTTGGGTTTTAATATCTATACCATGTTTGCTATTATATTCTATTGGTTATCCCTGCTTTTTGTTTTCATTTTTGTCTTCTGCTCTTTTCTGCTTTGTGTTTAATTGAATATTTTGTATTATCCTATTTTCTTTCCTTTCTAAGTTCATTAGACACGCTTCTTGTTTTTAACATTTTTTCAGTGGTTATCATAGTATTTACAACATACCTTTACAACTAATCCAAGTGCATGTTCAAATAATAGTATACTATATCACTGCAGTGCAAGTAGCATAGAATAACAAAATGTTCCTACTTACTCCCTCCCATCCCTTGCTGTCATTAATTTGGTATAAGTATATGTATATTTATTACACATAAATAAAAACCTCTCTTCTGACATTATCCACTTATTCTTATTCTTTTATGTTGTCTATTTTTTCTTTCAATATCCTGTGCATATTAATCAGTTATTTCAAATTTCTGATCAGATAATGCTAACATGACTGCCATATCTGACTTTGACATTTTTTGTCTTTTAGTATGTGTTGTAAGTTTTTGCTAAAAGATGGACATGATGTACTTAGTAATAGGAATTGGGATGAACAGCCTTTTAGTAAAGTCATGGTAAAGTGACTCCCATGGAGGGAGATGAGGTGGTCTATAGTACCATGGTATTGTCTCAATCTTTTGGTGAGTCTCTGCCCTGTACTGTAGACTTTATCAGTGCATCTTAGTATTCTTCTCCCTTAAAAGTGGGACAGGTTGGGCCTCCCCTGGTGGCGCAGGTGGTTGAGCACCATGCTGTGAAGCTGTCTGCAACCGCTGCAGCACCAGTTCGATCCCAGCCAGCCAGCAAGGGTCCCACATGGTGCGGCAGACCTCTCCTGTCTCGCTCGCTGCTCCCCTCAGCAATGTATTTCTTCAATCTGCCTGTTCTGTTCCCCGCTCTGGCTCTGGTGAATTCTCTCACCCTCCCGCACATCTGGCCTGTATCCCAGTTCTTGTATACATAAATAAATAAATATTTAAAAAAAAAAAAAGTGGGACAGGTTGGTAATGGGAGCTAGAGTTCCGTATTTCCTCTCCTCTATTTTGAAGAGGAAAACTTGCTGGAGCTGTGTATCTCTGCTCCTCCACCCCCATAAGTTAGACTCTGATAAATCTAGAAAAAATTAAGAGTCCAGTGAAACACTTTCAACTGAGAGTTGGTTTTGTTAAAAAGAATAGAATCTACTGTATATCTGCTTCCATGTTCCTTCCCACTAATGCCAGCAGGAGGAGATTTTTCTGATATTCACTGTGAGGATCTGGTAGATCTCTGGGAGGCCAAATACACAAAATCGTGGAAACCCCACAATGACTGAGATCCTTTGAGTTTTTAACTCTCAGAGTTGTCCATACTGAACCTTCAGCAATCTATCAATTACACTTTTGATTTTCCTACTCTAGCACTGATTCCCAGAGACATTTCTGTTCATATGTTTCTGCTCTGGTAAGTGGCAATTCTCTGTTTTCATCTGTCTCTCCAAGTTTTGGTGATTTGTTCTATGATCTTACTTCCTTGAAGGATCAAAAAAGATATGTTAGTTTCTCATTTTGTTCAGGTTTTTATTTGGTGTTAAGATGGAGTGATGATTTCTAAGTCTCCTACATGGTACATGGAAATTGGAAGGCCTCTAATTTTTCAAAATTGTAATACTGGACCTCTAAATGCTGAATACAGTATTCAGCATTGTTGACTACTCCCCCTTTGACAAGTAAACACTCTCTTCTCTTGACTTCTATAATACTATATTCTCTTTATCCTCCTCTTTATTTCCTTCTCTGACTATAGATTTTTCCAAGGATTGTTCCTAGACCCTTTTCTCTTATTACTCTATAGATACTCTTTCCCAGGTGACTCCATCCATACCCATGAATTTTAAAATATCAGTAATACTATATACTCCTCATCTGTATATTTATTCCCAGTATAGCTCTTACCACATTTTCATCTTCATGTGTCCTCAGACCCCCTACCTTTCCTATTACATTAAATAGCACCTTTATTCACTAGAGCAGCTTAAGACAGTAATCTATATGTTTCTCTTGACAATGACTCACTCCTTCATTCTCTTTATCTAATCTATGAACTACACAGGCAAAATTATCTTGAATCCATGCATATTTCTCCATCTCTTCTACAAAAGATCCCAGTACAGACCACTATAATGTTGCACCAGAAATCTTTCCAACATTGTATTATGGGTCTTGCTGCTCCCACTCTTGCTCTTTCAATTTTTTTGTCTCAACATACCAATGACAATATGGTATCGTAGAAAGAATGCAGGTTTTAGGCCCATAAAGACCAAAAACTGCCAGAAGCGCCTCAAACTGGTTAACATCCAAACCTCATTTTTTCTCAGCTATAAAATAGGTAAAAATAAAACATAACAAAATGACAAAAGGGTATAAAAAAGCTATAATTAATAAAAAGTGCTTAAATGATGCTTAGCATTGACTACATAGCAAATGTCTTATTTTACCTTAAATTTGTCATTAATAGACTTTAGATTATCCATATGGAAGTTGTAAAAAAAATTCTTTCATTAGACTTAGTAAGAGTATATGTTAATATAACAATGTGATTTAATTGCTAAGCTATAAAAACATTTTAAATTATTGACTTAAATAGCTGAAAAATAATTCCTATAAGGGTGTTGGTTAAAAACATGTTCTAAATTAAATTTATGGTTCATGTAGTTATTATGCTTTAATACTTGCTTTTTTCTTGCTTTTTTCAGTGGTTGAAGGATAAGGTTTCTCAGCAAGTAAAATTTCACAAGTTGCATTGTCTATGAATAAAAACATATTTTAGTATTCTAATTATTTAACCTGCATTAACTGTAAGTACAGAAGATAAGAGAACTTGAATTTGAAAAAAATTGATTTTAATAACTGTCTTTTTTAATAGCTTTAGAAAAAAATGTAATATGGGTTGAATAATCTGACTTGCTACAAATAGAAGAAAATATTCTTTAAAACATCTTTATCTCAAAAGCTCCAGATTTCACAGTAGTATTTAAAAAGGTTTTCTTTTCAATTAGTAGAGAAAGTTCTATGCTATTAAAATTCTTCCTAAATTATCCTTCCATGTTTATGCTTCTATATTTTCAAGCTCTCCCTTTCTATTGCAACATTTCTACCAGCATTTAAAACATACTCAAGCCTCTCTCATCTTAACAAAACCTTTATCTATACCTCATACTCCTTCCTGTGACATCCTTCTCTCTGTTCAGACAAGTTTCTTCAGGGAACTATCCACATATACTAACTTAACTTCTCCTCCTATTTATTCCCCAAACTACAAGAATGTAGTTTCAGATCCCACCAATAAAAGCAGAAACCTTTCCTTCCCATCTCACTGGATTTCAGGTCCATAGGTATGAACATCTTTCCTTTCTGGCCCCTTTCATGGCTTCTCTTCAATCTGAACTTTTCTCTTTTCCTAACTCTCCAGACTTTATCCAAAGCAAGGAATATTTGTAGAGTATCTACTATGTGCCATTTTACTTATCATATGTACCTAATACTGAAAATTTGGTTTTTCTTTATCTTTAACACCAGTACTTTAATATAATGCACCAAAATTTTCACCTTTAGATTGTTCCAACAGTTTTCCAATTCATTTCCCTCCTCAGTTCATTGTTCTAAAATACAAATTTAATGTCATCTGCTTAAAACTCTTCAAAGGCTTTTTATGCCCTCAAATTAAAATTCAAGCACCTTAATTTGGCATATAAAATTCTGCTTTTTATAATCTCTGTATTGTTTCATATCCACAGCCTCACTGTGGACACTAAAAGGTCATTTGATAAAATACAGGATACCCAGTGAAATTTGAATTTCAGATAAACAACAAAAAATATTTTTTAGAATAAGCACTTCCCATATAATAGTACAAGCATGTGCAATATTTGGGACATATTTTTATTTCAAATTTCTTTGCTGTTTATCTGAATTAAAATGTAATTGGGAATTTGGTGTCTCTATTGGCTAATTCTGACAATCTTTGAAGCTAATCATTCCTCATCTTCATCTCCCTAGGTAGAGAGAAATAGTAGGTTGAGAATTCTGAAGGAGATAAAATTGTTACCGAAGATTTGGTGATAGATTAGATACAGAAAGTGACAAAGACAAAATGTTGAGGATGATTTCCAGGTTTCTGTTCTGCTAAGATACATTTGCTAACTGAGATGGAGTACAGTGGAACATAACAAAGTTAGATCTTTGAAACTTCTCTGAAGAGGAAATGCAAATGGCCAACAGACATATGAAAAAATGTTCAACATCACTTGTAATCAGGGAAATGCAAATCAAAACTACCATGAGATACCATCTTACACCAGTGAGAATGGCACACATTAAAAAAACTAGCAACAACAAATGTTGGCGAGGGTGTGGAGAAAAAGGAACTCTTCTGCACTGTTGGTGGGAGTGCAAACTGGTCCAACCACTATGGAAAGCTGTGTGGAGATTTCTGGACCTACTAAACATAGAGCTTCCATATGATCCAGCAATTCCACTCCTAGGTATTTACCCAAAGGACACAGAAACATCAATTCCAAAGAACACCTGCACCCCTATGTTTATAGCAGCACTATTTACAATAGCTAAGCATTGGAAACAGCCCAAATGCCCAAAAATAGATGACTGGATCAAGAAGATGTGGTACATATACACCATGGAATATTACTCAGCATTCAAAAAAGATAAACACATGCAATTTGCAGCAACATGGATGGCGTTGGAAGGGATCATGCTCAGCGAAATAAGCCAAAAAGAAAAAGAAAAATACCGGATGGTCTCACTCATAGCAGGAATCTAGAAAACTTAAATAAGGGACCAGGAAAATGAATATAAGAAAGTGAAAATCAAAATCAACAAAAACTATGAACCAGAGACACTTTTTGGGGGGTGGGGGCGGGAGGGGAGGGATTGGGGTCAGAATGGGGCATTTGCAATTGTATGGGGGAATATAAAAATAAAATTTATTATTTAAATTAAAAAAAAAAAGTTAGATCTTTGTTGTGACAACTCACAGTCCTCATTGTTTTGTTATATTAATAACTACTTTGAAATGTCAGCACATTCCATTTACTTTCTTTTTTACATGATTCTTTTCTTTTTATTTCAGTTCCTGGGAGATGTCATCTAGTCCTATGGCCTCAAAACCTCTATACTCAAACTTTATCTATTGCCCCAATTTCTGCCCTGAATTTCAGAATGCAGTACCTCAAACTGTTTTTATGACACTCCACTTGAAGACTAATAATCTTCCTAATTTTTAAATATTTTATTGAAGTATGTTATATATATATATATACAATAGTGGCACAAATCTTTTATGTGTATATATTCATCCATATTATCACCATCTAGACCAAGATACAAAAACATTTGCAACACCTTCAAAATTTCCTATGTGTTCTTCCTTAATCAGTACTCCCTTTCAAAAGACTACCATAATGCTGATTTCTCTGTTACCTTTAATAGTCTTTTTTTTAAAAAGATTTATTTATTTATACATACAAGAACTGGGTACAGGCCAGAGGTGTGGAGGGTGAAAGGATTCACCAGAGACAGAGTGGGGAGAACAGGCAGACTGACTAAAAAACACTGCTGAGGGGAGCAGCAGGCGAAACGGGAGAGGTCTGCCGCGCCATGTGGGTAGCTCCCTGGCCAGCCAGGAATTGAACCCAAGCTGTAGAGGCTGCAGACAGCTTCACAGCGTGGCGCTCAAATGGCTGAGCCACCGGGGAGGCCCCCCTTTAATAGTCTTGCTTGTTCTTAAGGGTGATTTCTCTATCACCCTTAATAGTCATGTTATACAGAATTACACAATATATGCATGTTTGTGTCTGCCTTCTTTCATACAACATGGTGTATACAAGATGACAGGTCAAATCACTGTATCCAAACCAAATTCTCTGCTTTACAGTGCTCCTACCTCAAGAAACAATACTTACCATATCTACTCGCTTAAATCAATAATTTAAGATGTATCTTTGACTTCCATTTTTCTCTCTTACTCAATATTGAGTATAATTAAAAAATCCTGGAAAGTCTACCTTCAAAATAAATTCCAAATCAGACCACTGCTTTCACTTTAGTCTCATACACCATCATCTGACCACTGCAATAGTTTAAAAGGTTTCCTTTCTTCTACTGTTGCCTCCTTAGTCTATTCTCCACATAGTTGGAATGATCACTCTAAAAAATATATATCTCATTTTATATCTCATCCCTCTGTTTCTCAGCACATTTAGAATAAAATCCTTATTCCTTATGATGGCATATGAGACTTTACATTATATCACTTGACCAGCTCTCTGACAAAATTTCAACCATTCATTTTCATATTCACTTTGCTTAGTCACACTGACCTCTTTCCCTGTCTTCAAACGTGCCAAGGATATTCCCAGCTCATGGCCTTTTCATTTGTTTCCCTTGCCTATCATGCTATGCCCCAAACCCCCAATTTTCATATGGCCCACTCTCCTGCTTCATTCAACTTCTGTACAAACATCACCTCTTCAGAAAGGAATGATTACCCTATCTAAAATAGTATCCCCACTATATTCCTGATTTTACCCTGCTTTACTTTCCTTCAGTATTCTTATTTATTTATCTATTCATTATCTTTCCTCCTCCACTATAACCCAAGCACTAATAAAGCTGCAAATATACATCAGAGTATTAATCTCAGGGGAGACTCTAGAGTTAGAGAAAATTTGGAAGCCCTGTCTTTTACAGACCTATAACTATCAGGGCTTAGCTAAAAAAGAGATTAAAATCTAGGGGCCTAGAAGAACTACCACATTTAATAAGAACAGATGAAACTGTAAATGACACTAAGCAAGAATTATCTGAAACATAATTTCTCATTTGCCTCTATTTCTACACTACTGGATTCTTGAAGGTAGGAATACAGCTATTTCTTGATTTCATAACAGTAAAGAGCCTGACATTAGTGGAATATAGTGGGATTTGTTAAATTAAGCAGCATGTAAAAAAAAAAAGTCTCTAAAGCAAGATATAATTTATTTAATTTTAAATTAACCACATAAAAGAATACAAAATATATAATTCCAGAATCACTGGTCTGCCTTACTATCAGGCTTTATAAATAATATTTTTCACAATCAAAGCAATACTTTTTACTGAGAAACACCTAGGTAAACACATGACTGTTTTGGTATCATATCACTTTCCCTTTCATTACCTCTCCTCTCTTGTTCACAAGTTCCCTTAACTCTTCAATCTATAAAACAAATCTTCCTTCCAAGTTCACCCCGCAGAGTAGAAAGTGCTACTGTTTCCAAGATATGTACTTTCACATGTCTAGTTTTTATCATTAGACTATTTTCTCTTAGAACAGAAACTGTTTTTATCATTTTATAGCCACAGTTCCTAATAATGCCTGATATTTAGTAAAGCCCCATTAAAACAACTTCTTTAGGTGAGTATGCAAAATATCCTTTTTTTAAGTTCATGCAAACATTTACACGCATCAGGAGCAAACCCCAGCAGCAAATACATATGCTATAAGACAGGAAATAAAGAAAATAGAAATTTGAGATAGAGCTATTTATTCATTCTAAAAATAAATAGAGCATCTCTAATAGAAGGCACTTTTGTTGATCCTATTATTTTTCAATCATCACACATAATGCTAATAAATCTGTTTACAAATTTTCTCCCTCCCTTATGAAAGAAACTTACAAACTTATATGCCACTCCTTGCTGCGATGTTGAGCAATGCCTCGTATAGTCTACATACTCAGAATTGTTAGTTGTATTTAAAGAATTAAGATATATGAGGTTAAAAAGTAGGTCTTAAGAATCTCCACAGCACCCGTCATTAAATCATCTCATGAGCAGAATTGTTCATGAGATGATTTAATGACGGGTGCTGTGGAGATACTTAAGACCTACTTTTTAACCTCATATATCTTAATTCTTTAAATACAACTAAGTTAAAAGACAGTTTTCTGGGCTACCAGTTTCTTAACATACTGCATTATGACCAAAAAAAAAAAAGGAATACAGAATGATGAAAATGATTTAGTTTCGCTGTTTATTACCTGATTCTGGATTTGAAGTATTCTTTGGTTTTGGAGAAACATTTTGATCTGCAAAGGTCATCACTCTACAATGAAAACAAATTAATAGTATTCTTTAAAATTTTCAGTAACTTTTGAGAGTTTCCAAATATATTTGAAATAAGGACATTTATATGTAATCAATTATCCCGCAGAATAAATACAACTGGTTAGGAAAAAATGTTACTATATATATGAACAAAGAGTTTATAAAGGCAACATATCTACACATTTTTCAGTATGACATGACATGTATGGAGGACAAGCCATTGTGTGTGGTATCAGAGAGACCTGAGTTTAAAGCCCAGTGCTGCTGTTCATACTTGAGTGACTTTGGGAAAGTTACTGAATCTGTATTCAGTCTTGGCTAAGTGATTTATGCAAAAAGAATTGGAATAATGCTTCCTAGGATTCTTGAGGCAAGGATCTCAAGAAACAAGAGATAATATTTTTAAAAAATTAATATCCTTTTCTTTAACACTTTCACAAATGAGACTGCCCCAATTCAGTTCAAATGTATAGGGGAGTATCAGCTATTACAAGAAGAATATGAAAGGAATAAGTTCAGTCTTTGATCAGAAAATGAGAAACCTGAGTCCCTAACAAGACAATGAAGCTGAAAACCAAATGTGAAAAGATTTTTTTTGCTTACTGAACATTTGAACAAGGTAAGCAAAAGCCAATCTTATTCTTTCATATTTCCCCCTTTGAATATATTTAGTATGCTCTTGTATAATAAGCAATCAGTTTTAGGTAATAAAAAGACCAATATAATATAACACCAAACTCCTTTATCCAATTTAAATTAATTTCATTTCCCAAATCAGGCCTGACATAGATTCATAATTTGCAGGGAGGAAAGCAAACATGGTTGGTTTCTTCATTATTTCTTGCTTCCTTCCCACCCGTCCCAATACACACACAATTTGGAAATGTCTTTGGAATGCTCTGGCATTGAAGTAGGGAAAAGAAGTTGTAGAAAGGAATAGGAAAGGTCTTTCTTGATCTTGACTGATGCTATTGGTGCTCTTTGGGTGACAGATAACCAGTGCTGGCTCAAACCTGGAGTATTTTGAGGGGTCAGAGGATAGGATTTCCCTATGCTGGGGGCTCTCTCACTTGCTGCTCTTTCAGATCTCCTTTGCCTTTGCACTTGATAACAGAACTTCAAGCCCCTTTCAGTTGCATTTACTTTGTCCTTTGCAGGAAGTCATACTGAGCATGTTCCTTTTTAAGATGACCCAGAACTTTTCTCTTCTGTGGGAGCTACTTCTGATCTATGAACATTATATACATTATATACTTCTGATCTATGAACATTATATACAACTTTTTGTTGTGACAAACTCTGAAAGGACAACTAGTTTCTTTATTCTGCTATTCCTAAGCATCTAAGGGATCCTCTTATCTTTAGTCTTTTCAGGTGTGAGTCAGAAACAAACTACAGGAAATACATGTTGAACTTTATCAACAGAAGCTTCCTCTTTATTGATTAGGTGAGAGAGAAGACTTCCTCTAGCACCAAATTGTAAAGTAGAGGTAACACATGAGAAGACAACAGTTAAAAAAAAAAAAGTGAAGAGAAAACCAAAACTCTGTTTGTAATCTCAGAGAAGGCATTCACATAGGATTGGCTCAACATAAAAATCGGAGACACCTAAATAAGGGACTAGGAAAAAGACTAATTATAATAAAGTAAAATTCAAAATCAACAAGCAACTACAAACTAGAGACATACTATGGGGGGTGGGGGCGGGAGAAGAGAGAAGGATCAAAACAAAGGGGGTGGAAATTGTATGGGGACTATAATCAAGATGAAAATGCATACATTGTGCAAAAATGAAAAATGATGTAAAAAGTATACAAAATAAAATAAAGGAAAAAAATAAAATGAAAAAGTGAAATGATAAAAGTATAAGAAGAAAAAAAAGGGACACGATTTTTCAGGCCCTCCTAGGAGTCCTTCAATTCCTCTGCATTATGAACAGGCTCTCAAGGTCTTACACACAAGGCAATCTAAAATACCTGGCATTTGACTGCTATGGTGAGGTAACACTACCCCAAAGGTTGCAAAAAGGCAACCAAGGGGGGCCTCCCCGGTGGCGCAGCGGTGAGTGCTGGGTTAAGAAGCTGCCTGCAGCCTCTGCAGCGCCAGTTCCATCCCCAGCCGCGGGGTGAGGGTCCCACATGGTGCACAGACCTCTCCTGCTGCCCACTGCTCCCCTCAGCAGTGTACTTCATCAGTCTGCCTGTTCTGTTCCCTGCTCTGGCTCTGGTGAATTCTCTCATCCTCCCTTGATTCTGACTGTACCCAATGCTTATATAAATAAATAAATAAATCTTTAAAAAAAAAAAAAAAAGGAACCAAGGGCTTCCCTGGTCTCTCAGGTGGTTGAGCACAGTGCTATGAAGCTGTCTGCAGCCTCTGCGATGCAGGTTCTATCCCAGCTGGCCTGGGAGATACCCACACGGCACAGCAGACCTCTCCTGTCTCGCCCGCTGCTCCCCTCATTAGTGTATTTCAGTCAGTCTGCCTGTTCTGTTCCTACTCTGTCTTTGGTGAATTCTCTCACCCTCCTGCACATCTGGCCTGTGCCCTGGTTCTTGTATGAATGAATAAATAAATCTTTTTTTTTTTTTAAAGGCAACCAAGGCAAACAGTGGTTGTAGGACTAAAATGAGACACAAAGAAAGGGCTTGAGGTAAAAGGGCTTTCTTTTACCAATAAAAGAAAGCTAAAGTTAGGAAAGCAATTGAAAACAGTATTAGTCTTCAATAAATATTTACTAATGGGACATCTGAATTTGTGGGCTAACAATCACACCTGCTATATATCTATTAGAACACAGTTTTAGAAAGTATAACAACTTTCAAAATGATAGTTCTTACTTTTGTCTATGGCATATCTGATAGTCTTCTGAAGAGGTACCTAGGTAGGAAAGTAGGAAAAATGAAATCTATTAGAAATAAAATTTCTATACTCAAACATAGGCTAGAGGGAAAAATAGGTAAAATAGGTAAAATAGGTAAAATAAATATGTCCTCTAAAATGGTACTATTGTTGTTAACTTTTATAATTTTACTGTTTTAGTTTTCATGACTGCCACTTAAATTAAGTAGAAGTATTTTATACAAAATTCTTACAAAATTTCATGAGGAGCAGGAATCTATTATCTTGTATTTTATATATATTTAAAATCTTAAGAGGTATTTACTATCTCTGTTTTATATGTAAGATAAAAATAACAGATCAAGTTATGAAACTAATAGCTATGCACCTTCAACATTTTTTTAATTCATGAGATACCATTATTTCACATCTTTGTTTATTTTTTCACAATATAGGATTTCACCCCTCAGGTGTGATGGAAGCTATGTGGAAAACCATACTTTTCCCACCATCAAAGTACCCACAGTCCTCCACCACTGTTCATTGTGCTCTCCCCTTAGATGCCTCAGATCTATGATCAGCTTTCAAGGGTTGGTTTTAAATTCTGTCTTTGGTCTTTTGTTTGACTTCTCTATATTCTACATATGAGTGAAAACATTCTGTATTTATCTTTTTCTTCTGGTTCACTTCACTCAGGATAATCCCTTCCAGTTCCATCTGTGTTTCTGCAAATGGCACAAGTTTACCTTTTTTGATTGTTGAATAGTATTCCTGTGCGCGCACGCATGTGTGTATGTGTGTGTGTCAGTGTGACATCTTTTTGATTCATTCATCTCTTTTGGGGCCTTTAGGCTGTTTCCATATCTTGGCTATTGTAAATTGTACTGCTATAAACATATGAGTACAGGTTTTCTTTTGAATTAGTGTTTTTGTGACTTTGGGTAGATATCTGAGAGTTGCATTTTGAACTTAAACTCAGGTCTAATGTCTTTTAATTTAGTACCAAAAATATAGCTTTGCATATTAGTAGATTGATTAGTTAAGACTACGCTACCAGTTAACATTTTACTGCCTAGGTACTAGTATATTGCTAAGAATAAAAAGAACCATAGAAGTAGTCTTCTGAAGAGGTTATAACCTTCAGCAGCTGTAGAACTTTGCCTATATACAATTAGAATTTAAAATTCCCAAAAGCTGAGTGAAAGTGATTGCTCCTAAGCATTGCAAAGTCTTTTCTTAAAAGGGAGGGTCCCCAAATATAAAGGACTACAGTGCACACTTATCATTCAACATTTATTCTCTGCTTTTGCTGGTAAGTTTCCTGCTTCTTCTTCTTCTAAAGGATCATGCCTGGTCCATAACTTTAATGCACCATAGGCCCTGCATCTCCCTGGCCAAAGTGACTGGTTCAGGGAAAGGTATATGAACTAATTTAAGACAATGTGTAAGGTCCATGACTTCTGTTCAGACTCTTGGGAAAAAGAAGCACCGTGTTCATTGGATTTGAGACTGTAAGTATATAAACCTAAAAAAAAGGGGGGTTGCTAAAAAGGGTTGCTATATGAAAGCAATGTGGCTGATACTATTGCTGACATGGAAGGATCCTAAGTTCAGAGATAGAAAGGAGCTGGATTCTACTGATATCATTTGACTCTGGGTCAAGTTGTATCTGTTTCTGATTTAATATTCTATATTTCATGTACCTGCAGTAATAAATTTCCTTTTTAACTTAACATAGTTTGAGTTTTTGGGGTTTTTTTGGTCATTTTATTGTCAAAGAATCTAATTGAAACACTGGTAAAAAGACAAGCTGTTTCGGGTCTCCCAGGTGGTACAGCGGTTGAGCGCTGGGTTGCGAAGCTGCCCGCGGCCTCTGCGGCGCCAGTGCGATCCCCGGCTGCTCCCCAGCCACCGGAGGAGGGTCCCACATGGTGCGCGCAGACCTCTCCTGCCGCCCGCTGCTCCCCTCAGCAGTGTACTTCGGTCCTTCTGCCTGCTCTGCTCCCCGCTCTGGCTCTGGTGAATTCTCTCACCCCCCCACGCTTCTGACTGTACCCAGTGCGTGTATAAATAAATAAATAAATAAATCTTTGGGGGAAAAAAAAAGAAAGAAAGAAAAACAAAGCCAATCATTAAAAAAAAAAAAAAAAAGACAAGCTGTTTCTTTGAGCACTTGACAGGAGTTGCCAACCTAAACCTAACAATAAAGACAAGGTTTTAAGATGCTGTTAGAAATACAGCTAACCAGATAGTTCTCAGCTCTCCTAGAAGGGACCTCAAATCCAATGCAAATTCTTTTTTTTTTAAGATTTATTTTTTATTTATACAATAGCTGGGGTACAGGCCAAAGGCGCAGGAGGGTGAGAGGACTCACCAGAGACAGAGTGGGGAGCAGAACAGGCAGACAGACCGAAAGCACTGCTGAGGGGAGCAGTGGGAGAGACAGGAGAGGTCTGCCGTGCCATGTGGGTATCTCCCTGGCCGGCTAGGAATTGAACCCCCGCTGCAGAGGCTGTGGACAGCTTCACAGCGCAAAGCTCAAACCACTGAGCCACCGGGGAGACCCCCAGTGCAAATTCTTTGGCAGATAGTCCCTCCCTGTTTTGTGGCAGACTCTGACAGGCAGGCTGACAACATTCATTCCTACTCCTCTCTCCATTTAGCATTTTGCTTGCCTTCTACCACTACACAAACTAAGAAAGCAAAAACACATAATTTCCTAGCTTCTCAAGTAGTACATATATTTATTTATTATAAAGGGAAAACAGTAACTTTTCAGTAGAGAAAACCTTCAGTCACCACCTTAATCAAGCGATGATGTTCAACATCATCGTGATAACACGTATTGACATCAAGATCTCCTTTAACAGAATATCCTAAGAAGGGGACAACATTTTTTTCCTGTGGTATTCTTATCCAAAATTGTATAACCTTACTTCAACAATGAGAAAAGCTATACAAATCCAAATTGAGAGGCACTCTCCAAAATAACTTGATCACATTCTTCAAAAGTCTCAAGATTATGAAAGAATAAGAGGTGTCACAGATTGCAGAAAAATAAAGGAGAAATAACAATCAAATGCAATGTAGGCTCTAGTTATTATCCTGAAACAGAACAAAAGCCATTAGTGGAAAAACAGGAAATATTTGAGTAAGGTCTGTAGTTTAGTTAAAATTTTGCTCTAATGTTAATTTCCGAATTATGGTTATTGTGTTTTGATGATATAAGAAAAAATTTAGGAAAAGCTGGGTGAGAGGTATAAGGGAACCCTCTATTTTTGTAATTTTTCTGCAAACCTAAAATTAGTTCAAAATGAAAGTTACAAAATAGTAAATCCGTATGTGCTAAAGCTACTATGTCAGATAGTATGTATAGCCAGAGGTAATGCTAATTGATAAACTTAGCTTGGGAATAATTCAAAAGAAAAAATACTTTGCCCCTATAAACTTAGAAAAAAGAATGTAAAAACTCACCTAAAATTGTAGAGAGGTTTAAAAACTGTGCTGCCTTCTCTATCACTACTGCTTTACTGGTATCCAGAAGAGTGGAATTCTTGTATAGCATGTGTTCTTCCAACTTGGGATACTCCAAATCTAAAAACACAGGGAGAAATGGCACAAAACTTTAAACAGCATGCAAATGACAGGTTACCTTCTAGTCTACAGTAACTTAGGTCCTCAGCCTATACCAAGGTAGGGTAACTGAAGAGGAAAATGACAAGTCTTGATGGTATCTTTGGCCTATTCTGGTTCTCTAACCTTTCAGATATTTGCCCTACAAACATTATTGGTGCACGGGAGCTAGCTCTCATATTTTATGTAAAAGTGACATTAACTGTCATATCAGAAAATAACACACTAATACTAGGTATCAGTTTTAAGCTTTCTATTGATTTACCACTTTGGAAGTATGAGGTCATTCTCTCTAATAGCCCCCATCCCACCTTTCCCATCCTTCCCCTATCTTTCCCACACTTCTCATTGTCTTCATATTCTCATATTGCACATTAGGTTAGATATTTAATGTAGACATTATGATAAGCTGCTATAGAAATGCTAGTCTTTAGCATATAGTAACCATCTTTTGTTTTTTCTGGAGTCAATGTCTTTTTCTTAAAATTTTCTTAGTTTCCTCTATTTTTTTTAATCTATTTAATCCCCAAACTATACCAAATCCACTGTGTTTATTCCATTCTCTAGTGTTCTGAACTTTTGTTATGTTCTAACTTGGTGTTTTTCATCTGTTACTCTAGGCATACTGTGGCCCTTCTAACAGAAAATCATACTTTTTAACCTTAAAAAGTTTTTGAATAATATCTTTGACAACTTCTTCCTCTCTTTATTTCATTACCTTTTTCTGGAACTTTTATTTGATATTAAATTCCACGTACTACTTTATCTATCTTTTTTCTTTATTTTTCCTTTTACTGACTTTTTTACCAGGAAATCTCAATTTTATCTTCTAATCCTTTTACTGAGTTTTCCATTCTGCTGTTGTACTAGATTGTTCTCTGAATATTCACACTTTTGTAGAGCATCCCATTCATATTTAATGGATGCAATATATATTATTCAAAGAAGACTTTTTCCCCCAATATTTTCCCTATATATTTCTATTTCTACTTGGTTGCATTTTATTATTTTTAATTTTTTTAAGTCTATTGTGATAAGAACACTTAACATGAGATCTACTATCTTAAATTTGTAAATGTACAATAGAGTATTATTAACTATGGCAGAGTGTTGTAGAACAGATCTCTAGAACCACTTTGTTTTGTACAACTGAAACTTTACTTGCTGACTAGCAACTTCCCCTAATTCCTTCTCCCTAGATCCCCAGGCCACCAACATTTTACTTTCTGCTTCTATGAGTTTGACTATTAGATCTCTCCTATAAGAGGGATACTGCAGGATTTGTCCTTCTGTATGCAACTGACTAATTTTACTTAATGTATTCTCCTTAAGGTTCATTCATGCTGTCGAATATGGCAGGATTTCCTTCTTTCTGAAGGCGGAATTATGTTCCATTGCATGTACATACCATATTTTCTTATCCATTCATCTATCAATGGACATTTAGGTCATTTCCACATCTGACTATTAAGAATAATGCAGCAGTGAACAGGGGAGTGCAAATATCTCTTAAGATTATATTCATAACTTAATAAATTGATATAAAATATCAATATAACTTCACAGTAATGGATATGTGCCATTGTATGTTCATGCAAACCCATAAAATATATAATACCAAAAGTGAATCATAATGTAAACAATGGACTTTGGTTGGTAATGATGTGTCAATCTAGATTCATCAGTTGTAAGAAACATACTACTCTGGTAGGGAATGTTGACAAGAGACTGTGCATGTATGGGGCAGGGGATATATGGGTAATCTCTGTAATTTCCCCTTAATTTTGTTGTAAACCTTAAAATTGCCCTAGTAAAAGTCTTAATTTAAAAAGAGAGAAGAAAGATCTCAAACAACCTTACATTATACCTCAGGGAGCTAGAAAAAGACCAAAGTAAACCTAAAACTAGCAGCAAAAAGGAAATAATGAAGATTAGTGCAGGAATAAAGAAAATAGAGAATAGGATAACTGCAGTGAAACTAAGAACTGATGTTTTGAAAAGATCAGCAAATTTTAGCTAGACAAGTAATAAACAAAGAGAAGACTGAACTCTATAAATCAGGAATGAAATAAGAGATAGCTGGTGTAATGCAAGTAAAAAGGAACATTAAAGGCTACTATGAGCAGCTATACACCCAACAAATTGGATCTACCAAGACTGAATCATGAAGAAATAGAAAATCTGAATTTAACTGTAACTAGCGAGGAGACTGAATCAGTACTCAAACTTCCCCTCTCCGCAAAGAGAAAGGCCTGTAACCAGATGGTTTCTTTGCTGAATTCTAACAAACATTTAGGAAGAATTAATACCAACCTTTCTAAATGAAAAAAAAAAAAAAAAAAAAGCTCCTTTTTATTTTTATTTATTTTTTTTTAATTTTTTTTCTTTATTTTTAAAAGAAGAGGAGGAAATACTTCCAAACTCATTTTAAAAGGTTAAAACCAAAATTAAAATAAACAAAAAGAAATGGATTATTTTAATAAAATAAAAGCTTAGCATTATCATGATAGCAAAGTAAAAACAGTGTAAGAAAGAAAACCACAGGTCAGCCAAAGTGGGACTATATCAAACTAAAAAGTTTCTGTACAACAAAAGAAACAATCAGCAGAACAAAAAGACAATCTACAAAGCAGGAGAAAATATTTGCAAATAACATATCTAAGAACATCCAAAAAATATGAGAAATTCCTATAACTCAATAGGGGAAAAAACCAAATAACCTGATTTAAAAATTGGCAAAGGACTTGAATATACACTTTTCCAAAGATATAAAAATGACCACAGGAATATGAAAAAGTGCTCAACATCACTAATGACCAAAGAAATGTAAATCAAAACCACAATATCACTTCACACCGATTAGGACGGGTGTTACTAAAAAAAAAAAATTGTTGGCAAGGTTGTAAAGAAATTTTAACACTGTACACTGTCGATAGGAATTTAAAATTGTTCAGTTACTATGGAAAACTGTGGTGTTTCCTCCAAAAATTAAAAACAGAACTACTTTATGATCCAGCAATCCCTCTTCTGGGTATTATATAAATATTTTTCACTGCCATAAATATCCTCTATGTTCTACCTATTCATCTTGCTCCATCCCAACTTGTAACTCCGTAAGATTTGCTTATGTTTTAGTCACTGATAAGCCCAAAGCAAGGCACATGGTCAACTCCAAGGCCAAAGGGTGAGAAAGTACATTCCACCCATTATGAGGCTCTGGCAAAGATGTGGATACCTAATATAAGAGAACAAGTAATTGGAACCAATATTTCAAATTACTACAATATCACTGCTATTACTAGTACATATCCTTCAGTACAGAGTCTGTTTCAAATATACCGAGGAATCCAGATTCCATTTGAGAAGCAAGGAATAGCACATCTTTCATATCTTTACTACAAATATTAGTGCAGCCAAATTCTAAGCTTTCCTGGGATATTATAATGTCAAACTGGCTTGTTTCTGGGATGTTCCCATTGTTCACGGGCCCAGGTTTGCTTTATTAGATCATTTGCTCTATAGCTTTCCAAACTTTATGGTTTATTTTTACAATTCTCTTTAACCTTATATGTTAGTCTTTTTTAAAAAAAAACAAGTCATTTTCTGGCATTTCAGAAAGTTGTAGATGAAGGCATGTGTTCAATATACTATCACTAACTGAAGATTCCTAAATATATGTATAGTAAATGTAACGAACTCTTAGCTTCTTAGTTTGTAGAGAAAATTCAAGCAGGGGCATGCCCTAGTTAACATTTACTTTATTAGCTGAAAAGGAAAAGAAATACAGGAAATAAAAGGCAGCCTAAATAGTTCAAGAAAAAAAATTCATTATATGCAAAGCTGCTTAACAATCAGATATGTATTACAGGTAAAGGTTATCTCTTCCATCCTTCTTTGATCTGAGGGCTTTTGCTGCATAGTCCTTTGTGATTAAGCAAGGAACACAGTGGATAGTGAGCAGGGGAGGGAGGCATTGGTGAGGAGGACAAGCACACCTTCTCAAAAGAAACATTTAGTCACTGGAGGATTTGTGGACAAAGGGACAATTTCCATAGTGGAATAATTTAAAGTTGAAATTATTTTCTTACCTAAATGATCTGATCCTCTGAAGAGTTCAGGTGATGGGAAGCTACTTAAGCTTTCTTCAGAACTCTTATATTCTGTGTAAGAGTCTGTGATTGAATAGCTCAGAAGAGAAGTGGAAGCATTATGCTGCCAACTTAGTCCTATAAAATAGATAAGAAAACAAAAAGGGTAAACGTTTCAACAGAAAACAATTAAAATCCTAAGAACTTAAATTTGCAGGAATATACATGCAGTTGTATACTGTAAGAAGGTAAAAATCTGTTTCCACATACAACTGAAAAGGCAAACTATTGTACACCACTTATTTCAATCTTATAAAATAACTGATTTTGATATTGAGAAATGGATTATAATATTTCCCCATTGTTTCCAAAGTTTTACTCCTCTAATTCTTGACACAAAACGTAATTCGTGGGCCTCCCTGGTGGCACAGTGGTTCAGCGCTGGGCTGCGAAGCTGCCTGCAGCCTCTGCAGCACCGGTTCGATCCCCGGCCGCTGGGCGAGGGTCCCACATGGTGCTCAGACCTCTCCTGCCACGCCCGCTGCTCCCCTCAGCAGTGTATTTCGTCAGTCTGTCTGTTCTGTTCCCTGCTCTGGCTCTGGTGAATCCTCTCACCCTCCCACGCTTCTGACTGTACCCAGTGCTTGTATAAATAAATAAATTTAAAAAAAAAAAAGTTTAGAAGGACTCGCATAGTTCTAAAAGTTAAGGGGTACCAGAAACTTGACTAAGAAAAAGGAACACATATACTGCTCTAGTCAGTCAGCATTGATTAAACACTTCTAACATGTCAAAATAGAGATCAACACTAATAGAATCTCACTGGGTTTGGAGGTAAGGGATGAAAACCTGTTATCTCCAGCCCTGGAGCTGTCACAAATCTATTTCTACTTATCTACTACCTACCTAAGACTAACTTAACTCTGCCTTTTCTACTTTAACCTTACCACATCTTTCTCTCCCACTCCAACCACACTTTAAAGCTGATTGTTGGTTCCTACTTGGTCACCTCTAGCCACCACTGCAACATTTAAATTGACTGACTTCATCTACCATCTTTTTTCACCTTCTCAGATGTCAGAGGTAGGTCATCCCTTAGAGCATTTTTCTACTTCCTCTATACCAGTTGCCCCAGAGTACACTGTCCCTGTCATTGCTACTACCCACCCACGTTATTACATTTCTCTTGCCTTCCATCTCTCAAAAGTACAGGAGTGCCTCTCACAGGAAGGCTACCAAATCTCCAAACACAAGTCAGGCTCAAATATTAGGAAAGCCCATATGCAATGTCTGCGTAGTTGGGTAGAGAAAGGAATAACTCAATGATCATAATTATAATATATAGTGGAAGGTTGTTTATCACAAAAGAAAAATGCAAATGCATTACATCTATGTCAAATTATACATTCTTTTTAAAGCTTATGAAACTTGTCTCCTACTTTGTCATAATTTCCTACTCTCTAGAGACAACTACTATCGATTTTAATTAGCTATTTCTTTTAATATCTTTACATTTCTCAAGTAAATGTATTCAATATTTCTGTTATGATTGCTCATGTATACTTACAGCTGAGTGATGCACTATGAATTACGTTAATCACCTATTTTGCTATATGTTTTTGGCTTAAAATTTAGTTTTCTAAGTAGCTATCACCATTTTATCCCACCTTCTTGCAAAGTGAAAATTTCCTCTCAATACTTTGAAAAATGCCTGGTTACCTATCAATCACTTCCTTCCTTCAGGTCATAACTTCCAACTTGTGGGGCCTCCCTGGTGGCACAAGGGGTGAGTCTCAGCGCTATCAAGCTATCAGCAGCCAGTGCAGCATGAGTTTGATCCCTGGCCAGGGAGTTAACCCATATATGGCACAGCAGACCTCTCCTATCTCACCCACTGCTCTCCTCAGCAGTGTATTTCAGCAGATCTGCCTGTTCTGCTCCCCACTCTGTCTCTGGTGAATCCTCTCACCCCCTGCACCTCTGGCCTACACCCCAGCTCTTGTATGCATAAATAAATAAATCTTAAAAAAAAACTTTCAACATGTTTTAGAGTTTGGTGGGCTCTTCTTCTCCCTCCCCCCTCCCCAGACAATACTTTTGAAAAAGTATTCTCAATTTGCTTGCTCAAATGTGGACTAGTTGTCCAACAGACATGCTGCACAGCTTTCTTCCTGATTCTCTATCTTTTTTGAGCAATGATTGCAAGCTCAAATCATGCACGGAAAGTCTCTTCCTGGCCCTACTCTCTAAACACAATAAAAACCCAAGTCAGTCTCCTTTCTCTGCTCATTCAAGTCATTTTCAGTCCTGCATGGGAGTCACCCCATTCTTCAGAAAACCTCCCTATATGGAAACAGACCCTTCTAATATGTGAGGGCATTATCAGTTTTAAATCTGAACCAAATTTTGGGTGGGGAATCCATTCTGTCTCTCAATTTCAGTTCTCTTCAGAATTTTAAATGCATTTTACCACCACACTCTAGTTTCAGTTGTTTACTCTTGAGAAGTTCAATTCCATTCACATCCTTGATTGTTTAATTGCAATCAAGTATTTTTCTTCAGAAGATGCAGGATTTCTCTCTTTATTCTGCAGATTTTAAAATTACATAATGTTGTGCCTTGGTGTGGTGTTTTTTACGTTCACTGTGATAGGAAACTGTTGGACTCTTTCAATATGTATGACTCATGACCATAAACCATGAACCAGCACAAAAGTAGCAATGAGAATGAATTTCTAGCTTTCTGTGTTTAATATCTGGAAGTAGTATTTTTCAGATGTTACAAACTCTCCACAAAGTGAGTTTAGAGGGGCTGTACCTCAACATAATAAAGGCCATATATGACAATCCCACAGGCAACATTATACTCAATGTGAAGAGCTGAATAGCTTTCCTCTAAGATCAGTAGTAAGATAGGGATGCCCACTCTTGCTTCATTTATTCCACATAATATTGGAAGTCCTAGCTAAAGAAATTAGGCAGAAAAAAGAAGTAAAAGGCATACAAAATAGAAAGGAAGAAGTAAAACTGTCACTATTGGCAGAAGATATGACTTTTTGAAAAGAAAACCCTAAAAGCTCCATCTAAAAACTGTTAGAATAAACAGATTGAGTAAAGCTTAGGGTATAAAATCAATATACAAGTCTGCTATAATTTTATATACTAACAACATTTCACAAAGAGAAATTAAGAAAACAATCCCATTTACAACTGCATCAAATAAAATACCTTGCAATAAATTTAATCAAACAGGTGAAAGATTTAAACAGTGAAAACTATAAGACATTGATGGAACAAATTAAAGAAGACACACAAAGAAATGACACACATTTCTATAAACAGCCTTCCATAGCCACCACCTATCTGACATTGCTTCTTAGCTATCTTAAAGGCACCTATACCTTAATGCATTAAAACTTGGATTTATGATTTTTCCCTCAAACTAGATTTTTTTTTCACTTAATGGCAAGACCTTGTATCTAATTATGTCAGCCAGAAGCAGGTGTCATCTTTGATACCTCCAACTCCTTCACTCTATCAAATCCTATCAATTTCACTTCCTAAAACAGCCATCAGAAGAAGTGCCTACTTCTTTCCATTTCTAATGGAAAGTACAAAATGCCATTTTTCTCCTTTAAAAAACAATAGCCTCCTAAGAGGTCTACTTGTATCCACTGCTGTTTCTATACTATAGCTAAAGTAGTATCGATATTATTTAAAAGACTTCAGTGATGGTACAACCTTATCTCCTCACATTTCCTTCTTGTCTTTACTGTACAATGGTCTTTCAGTTCACTTGAACACATAATGTTCAGTCCCAGGTTAGGGTCTTTGCACATGCTGTTCCCTCTGCCTGGATTGCTCTTTACCTGTCTTTTTTGCATAGAAGTTTCTACTCTTCTTCATATCTCCATTAAATTGCCATTCTCTCCAAGTAAATGCAATCAGTTGCACTGAAGTTAAAAACTGGAAACATGGATTTTTATAAGAATTATATGATCCTAGTATTAATGAGCAGATTTGATATGTTTCTGTAATGAGTTTAGATAACTTCTTTAAACAGTCACACATTTTAAGCAAAGCTAGATTATATTTTCTATGAAGTTTGTTGTGATTCCTCAAGAGCATAATAGCCTTTTAAAAAAATCTTTCTTGGGCCTCCCTGGTGGTGCAGCCAGGGAGGTTGAGTGCAGCGCTGTAAAGCTGTCCACAGCCTCTGCAGCACAGGTTTGATTCCCGGCCAGCCAGGGAGATACCCACATGGTGTGGCAGACATCTCCTGTCTCACCTGCTGCTCCCCTCAGCAGTATTTTTGATCGTCTGCCTGTTCTGCTCCCCACTCTGTCTCTGGTGAATTCTCTCGCCCTCCTGTGCCTCTGGCCTGTATCCCTGGGATACAGGCTCATTAATACTTTATTTACTGTATAAATAAATAAATCTTTAAAAATTTTTTAAAAATCTTTCCTTTCAATGCTTAACACAATTGCGATTTCACATTTATTATTACTATATGTGTTTGAGGACTAAGGATGAAGCCCAGAGCAGAAAGGCACAAACGTTCACCTAGGACTAGAAGAAAGGCACATTCTTCCACTAAAATTGGAAGATGGCATTAAGGTACACATGTATACTTTTTGTTTGTAAGGAAAACCCGAGTTCACATCTGACCATCTTACCTGATTCTAGTTCACTATTTGATGAACTACTGTCAAACTGGAGGTTATCTGTCACTGACTCCTACATGAAATAAGAATTAAAAATATAGCACAAATTATGAGGTTTAATATTTTAATATTATAACATTGATTTGATTATTTTGAAAGTGAATATTGACTGTGTAAAGGAGTTTCATTTGCATAATATATACTTTCAGCTTACTGATGACAGGTGTAATTATAGTTAATATTAAATCTAAACATAAACATTAAAATACAATATTGTGAGCATATCAAGGGAGTCAATATAACACACTTGTCAACTAATGTGGGATAAACCAGCAATCAGAAAATAAACGTGAATCTTTTTCCAATTCCCTAGGGAGGAAGGGTTTTTTCCCCTCTAAATATAAAAGCAAAATATATAAATTAAAACATTGATAAGTAAGTCTAAAATACTAGAAACAAAGTTAAAAACAAACAGACATGGGCATATTGTGGTGTAAAAGTATAACTATCATCAATATTTAATAAAAAAATATTTTTAAATAATTAAACAAGGGAAAAATAAACTGTAATAGCATACAAGTAAGTGGAAAGTAAAAAAAAATGCTACGTTTCCTCTATCACATACATATATTTTTTAAGCTTTGAAGATGGTGCAAACTTGTCAACAAAAGTAAAAAATTTTAAATGCAATCCAACCCTTGACACATTACAAAACACTAATTGTATGGTAAATTTGATGTACATATAAAAATTCTGCAGCCAACCAATATCTACAACAACAAAACTTTGTAAATAATCTCAATCCTCCAACCACAGGAAAGCAGTCATTCAAATTAAAGTATATCCATCAATAACACAAAACGCTATGTAGATGCTAAAATATTACTTGGAAGACTACTTAATATTAGAGGAATATGCAATGAGATAATGTGTAAAATGAAAAACAGCATTAAAAAGGGAATGAAAACTGTAAAAATCAGAACAAATTGTTTAAACACTTCTTTGGCATTTAGTCTGAATCATATAGAAGGAATACTTAACAGTGTTAAAATCTAGGATGAGAGACTTTTTTTTAAAAAATGACTTGTTGAAACTTCCCTCCCCCAAAAAACATGTTATGGAGGAATATGTAAGCTAAAACACTGGCACATGATTATCAAATGTAATGCTAATGTCAGCTGAGTCACAGCAATTTTTAAAATATGGGTTTCTCCAAACTACAGCTGTACATCTTTAAAACACTATACAGATTCCACAATAAATATCATAGATCAAGAACTTACTATATAAGGGCCTCCCTGATGGTGCAGGGGTTAAGACGCAACCTATGAAGCTATTCGCAGCCACTGCAGCACAAGTTCGATGCTCTGGCCGGCCAGGGAGCAACCCGGCCAGGGAGCAACCTGGCCAGGGTGCAGCAGACCTCTCCTGACTCCCCTGCTGCACCCCTCAACAGTGTATTTCACTCAGTCTGCTTGTTCTGTTCCCCACTCTGTCTCTGGTGAACCCTCTCATTGCCTCCCCCACCTCTGGCCTGTACCCCAGTTCTTGTATGCATAAATAAATTTTTTTAAAAAAAGAACTTATATAAATATTCTAATGGCAATAATCTTATTTCTAGTTGTTAATAGGAATTTAAATGAGAAACTATGAAAAGACTTTAAAATCTTAAGTGTTACTAAACATAAAGGAGTGATAAAGAAATATTTTTTATCTCTTACATAGAAATTTAGCCAATAACAGACATTTATTTATTTATTTTTGGTCAAGGAAAAGAAAAAATGAAAGTGCACATCTAGGAATCTACCACAATCAGAAATTCAAGGCCCCATCTATGAGCACATCATCAATGTTCATAAAAAATAGTAGTGAGCTACGTGTAACGTCTATTGAACAAAGACCCTAATGTACTTTCATCTGCAGGTAGATCAGCTACCGCTTGTCTCTACTAAGTGTATCCAAAGATCATAGGAGAAACATACATACACTCAATGGAGCGATGATCTCATCCTGGGTCTCTTCACTAGTGCTATTTTCTTGCGGGCTTTTCTGTCCTGAGACTCTTAATTGAGTGCTAGCAAACAAACAACACAATTAGTTTGCAGCGTCTGGACTGCCTCTCCACCTTTAGGTTCACACTGTTCCGAATCTGAAAGGCTCTTGGGGAAAGTTTTAGAAAGTAAAGGACCAGAGGGCCTCCCTCGTGCAAGGGGTTGAGACTCAACCTATGAAGCTGTACACAGCCTCTGCAACACGAGTTCGATCCCCAGCCAGGGAGCAACCCACATGGCGAAGCAGACCTCTCCTGTCTCGCCCGCTGCTCCCCTCAGCAGTGTATTTCAGTCAGTCTGCCTGTTCTGTTCCCCACTCTGTCTCTGGTGAACCCTCTCAGCCCCCCACACCTCTGCCCTACACCCCAGTTCTTGTATGCATAAATAAATCTTAAAAAAAAAAAAAAGAAAGAAAGTAAGGACCAGAGTGAGACTCGACACTCAATGCTACAAAAGATTTCAAGGAGGTTTTATGGCACTTGCTTTTATAACTTGACAAGATTTCCTCTTCTTTCTTTCTTTCTTTTTTAAATCTTAAGTCAAATTTCTGGGTCGATGTTCTCAGAAAAGTGAAATCAGAGTATTCTATTTCTTTTGTTTCCCGACTCCTGCCGTGAGGGACTAATAGAAAAATAGCTTAAATTTTGAGGTGCCCAAAAGGCATGGGGGTTATTATTTCAAGCTACGCACCTCAGCGGCCCAGAGCCGCTACCTCTCAGCCTGCTCTGCTCAGCCTTCTCGACGATCTTCGCCAAATCATGCCCTTGGCCACTTCCTTTCGCGCCTGAGAGAGGGCGACTCCTTTCAAGGCGAAAGCCTGGGGAGGCCGCCCGCGGGCCTCTGGGGTCCCTGGCGTCGAGGCCCAGGTGCCCCCCGACCCACCTGTCCCGGGTGCCGCCCCACAGGTCAGCCAGGCCGGGCTTCCAGTGGGCAGGGAGGCCTCGGCCAGGACCTGAGGGGGCCTCCACCTTCTCAAGGGTGCCTAGATCTGGCGTCGGGGTCAGGTTAAGCCTTTCGCAGGCCCGCTTCTTGCGGGTGTAGACCTGTGGCCACAGCGCCATCCCACCCCGGGCCTCGGCGCCCCCGGGCCCTCGGTGGCCTCTCCACGCGTGGCCTTCCTCAGGAACAGAGCTACAGTCGGAGGGCGGCGACGGCCAGGACGGCCGACAGGGCAGCACGAGAGGAAGGTGAGGGAAGCTGGGCAGCCCCGGCCGGGCCCAGGCACTCGACCTAAGCCGCCCGCTCCGCTCCCGCGTTTTTATCGCGGCCAAGATGCGCAACGGCTTCTGGGAAGACGCGGAGAGGCGCCGGCGGCCCCGCCCACCAGGAAGCGCCCCGCCAGGTGACGCGCTGCGACCTGCAGGGCCCCCAGGGCAGGGGGCTGCTTCGAGGACTGAGGGGGAACCTCGCAGAGCCTTCTCCTCCGGAGGCGCCCATGCTTTCGATTTCCTCTTTAGCCTGATGGAGCCAACGCGTGGTTCCCACGCCACTGCCGCTCTCCTTATTGGCACTGCTGTAAGGCCCTTCTTGGTAATGGAGTTCTAAGTCTGAGCACAGGGAGTCTAACACGTAAGCCCGACTCTGTGCAGGAAGGTCGAAGATAAACGTGAAAGCGACAATAAGCATTCACCCAGACACCGGCGGTCCCCGGGGGCCGCCGTTTTGGGGGGTGGGAGGGAAGATGTATCTGAGAATCTAACCAATTTTGGGTTCTAGGAAGTTTTCTTCTCGAGGACAGGCACCATATATATATATACATACACACACACACACAGAGGTTGGATTATCTGGCTGCGTGTGATAAACATGCATATAATAATAAGCATCTTATTTTTTAAAAAAATCTTATTTCACAACACTAAAAAAATACCATTTGAAGAATTTACAAAAACTCAAGACTTTCTGTGAAACTCCAATACTGTGTTGTGATAAAATATTGTTATAATAAATATAATATACTATATAATATTTTAGTGATTATTCACTCATATATTTTAACCTCCTTGTAGAAATGCATAACAAGCAATTTAATATATGATTTAAAACAACTTTGTAAAAAACAGAAGGTAGGCTTTCTTACCCCATTAGATACAGTGTTTACAGTCACTGAATTGATACTCAGTACCTTACTTTGTGTTAAGTATTGTGGTAGGTCCTGGGGATACAAAGGTGAATTAGAAAAGGTCCTTAAATCAAGGATCTCACAGTTTTGCTGCGCTATAAAGCAGTTTTTATATTACAACATGCTTTCTTTTGTCACAACAGTAATATGCTGAGTCTGTAGTTCACAAGCCAGTTCTCCAGGCTCTCCTGTTTTCCTTGGGGGGGGGGGTGTATTGTGAAAAAAACAAAGTTCTTAAATGACCTTTATAAGATCTTGGTCCTGGGATGCTCTGTGCCTAGTAATGGAAGAAATTTTGGGGGTGAGGGGGAAGACAAACAACAGCTTAAAGCAAAAACCACTCTAATCTTCAGTGACCCTATTCCCTAGAATTCTGTCTTACTGTAGTGAATTACACTCACTGAAGTGCTATCAAGGAAGGATTTATGCAAGTCAATGCATAGGGTCTCAAACTGGAATAACCTTCCTTAGAGATTACCTAGTTGCCACCACATTTTGCAGCTGAGGAAACCACAGCATTAAGGAGGCTCATTATTACAGATGGTTGGCATAAGTGGCGCAAGTCTCCAGGCATTTGGCCAGTGTGCTTGTCATGTTCCCATCACTCTCAACACATAGCTGGGGAAGGGTTAGGGAAGCAAGGAAAGGAACTTGAAGCCCTTGAGTAGTAAGGAGAGGGTGAGGGACTAGAAATTGATGTGTTCTTTTTAAATCTTCACCTAGAGCCAGCCTATGGAAAGGAAAGGAAATGTGTTCCAACAGCAGCATGATACGGTGAGGCAGAGAAATCTCAGCTTGGTGATTTGGCTACCCCCCAATCCATTCCCAAATACAAAAATGCAAGAGTGAGCATTTAACCATGAGTATTAAATTCAATTTTTCTAGTTCCCTGTTCTACTACTTCCATATCTAGACTCAGAATTCTGCCGTTGGTGATTAAATTCACAGTGTGAGTTTGACTAGGTTTGAAACAGTCTTGGAGATACTAACTTCCATGGGAAAAAATTCCAAATTTTGACAAGAGTTCTGAAGAAAGCATTTTGGAAAAGAGCCAGTTTGTGTATTTGGGGTTCTCTTGGAGCCCAGAGCAAATGTTTACTTATGGAATAACTCACTGAATAGCTCACTTTTGGCACCATCAAACTTTATGGTCCAACTGAAAGCATTTATTTTTGCTTAGTTGACAAAAATGGAAAATAATCACAGTGATAAATATAACTTCAGGTTTTGCAGTATTAATGCTTTGCAACATATCAAAGAGGGTTAGGGGGATTTTCATTCAGTAGACATTTCTTGAGCATTTACTACTGGCCAGCTCTTCTGCACTGAGGCCACACCCTCAAGCGACTCACAGTCTGAATGGGAGTGGGGCAAAGGGACCATCAACCAGTCAGTATGTGGGAAGCTTCTGAGAGAAAAGGATAGCCAAGCCCAGTTTTAATACTTAGGGGTTGGACAGGGTGGATTAAAGGAAAGGGCAGCCTATGAAAAGGTGACTATGTACTGTATGAAGGTACAGAAAAGCACAATACCTTTAGGGCGATGTGGTTTGACTGGAGCTGAGGCTCTGTTGGGGAAGGAGAAGGGAAGAGATGCTAGGCTTTGTGTATTAAACCAGTGAGACTGAACTTTGTCCTGAAAACTATGGGAAGTCATCAAAGGAATATTAAGCAAGAGGGTAGCATGACCAGATTTTCAATTTAGAAAGATCGCCCTTACTGAATCTGGGTAGTGAAATTTGAGTAAGCTGGGGTCAAAACAGGAAGACTAACTACTAAAGCCCTGTAATATTCTCGACAAGGATGGATGACATTGGCCCCCAGCTACACTAATACTTTCAAGAATAGAGAGGAGTGGATGATAACAAAGACACTGAGAAGGCAGAATTTAAACAGCTTTTAAACACTTTTTTAAAAAGTGTGCCAGTTAACTTGTGTATAGGTAAAAGACATTATGGAAATTCTGTGTAAGGGCTATCATGATGGAAAATTTGAATACAGTTACTTGTTTGTTTAAAAGCATAAAATGATTTAAATTCAGGACACATTTGGTGCAGACCAAGGAGAGCCTCTCCGGGGACACCACAAGTCTTTGGAGTTTGGGGATCTTACAGGGGATGTAGAATATGCTGACTAGTGATATGTTTATCATAGCACTAGATGATTACCACATTTCTAACATCGGGACCACATTATGTAAATAGTAATTATGTGCAGCTTTGAGAAACAAAAAAATCTTTATTTTTTACAAAAGTTTTCATAAATGCATCTTATATATGATGTGCATGCTATTATAACAAAGCAACTAAAAATAGAATTACAGTTAAGATACTTTTATGCATATTTAAAAAGTAATATTTTAATCTCTTCAACTTTTAAAAATTGAAAGTAGAATAAGCATCTCTTCAAAAAATATCTATTTTCCCCCATGCAATTGTTGCAGTAATTTAACAAGGAAAATTAAAATCACCAGTCAAATGAATGTTTAAAAGTCTCTGTCACCTCATGAAAACCTTTTCAGTTTGGAATCATTTTCAGAAATGTTTGTATTCCAGAAAATGTACCTATTGGCGCTGGGTCAGTGTTCTAACTGAAGCGTTTCTCACTTAGGGCTTTGTCCCTCACTTGAATCCTTAATCCCGTTCTTACTGCAGTTAATTGTAGATTCACAGAAAGCAAACTTGAGAGAAAATTCAGACTACTGGAATTGGTTTTTTCCTGTTTATGTAAATGCTTCCTTAAAATAGAAATAGGCAAGAAAAAACACAGCAACTTAGCCCAACATATAGCTTGTCAGTTTTATATCGTTATTCATTTTGTTCCTGAGATAGTAAGTTTGTAAGTAGTCTGTTTTCATGCAAACAATACATTTTCCCATTTTTCTTTACATTCATTTCATAGTGTTTTAAATTCGAAACAACGATCACATTTGTGCTTTATACACTTTGAAAATAAAGAATAATTCATTTTCTTTTCTGGATAAAAGAAAAGAATTACTGGGTGTTTTGAGGGGTAATACAATCAACAATCAAATTGAGTTGCTAAAACATTATTTGGCCATTAAAATTGCAATATGGAAAGTTCTATTTTTTCTCATGCTTGTAGTTTTTACCTAAATTTAGAAAGGTTGACTTGTTCATATAAAGAAGACATGGCATGTCTGTCTATTCCTTGAACGTTTGTAAGTTGCTAAACATGTGAAGCTAAGCCTATAATCACACCTGATTTCAGAGGTTAGACTTCCTCTCTCACCTGGAAGGGAATCACAATACAATATAAATGTTATTTCTGACAAAAGAGAAAACTTGGTGTATAATTCTATTTTATAGTACTCACAAGATTAGTTTGTAAAATATAACAATTACTAGCACATTTGAATGAGAAACAGCATGTGTAGGCTTAAGGAATTGATCTCTGCTATGGTTCTAGACTTAAATGGGATCTGATATTCACCATGAATGTGAACATCTTAAGTGCATAGCCTTTTTATATATTGGTTAAAGAGAAATGCAGACTTTTCCCTCTCAGTATAAAGCTGGGAAATCTGAAGCAAGGAGGATTTTTCCATTAATACATATTATTTCATTTCTCCTTTATTAAAAAAGTTCAGTGGAGTTAAAGAGAGGAATAGATAAATGTACATGCAACATATTTAGGCCCCACTGTTGATTTTTCTCAGCACATCTTCAGTAACCTATTTATTAGCCCACATGTGATTTTTCACATAGGTCAGGGCAGGTAGTAGAAACCTAAGGTCTTTAAAGTGAGAAAACGGAATTTTAGGTTGTTCATAATCAATCATATCTAACTATGATGATGTGTAAATAGAAACAAAATTTTGTTTAAAAGTATTTGCTTATATACATTGTTTAAAATTCATTTGGAAACAAAGCTAACAGTGAAATTTTAGTTGAGTGTAAGGACAATGGGAAACAGCTTCATTTTCTTTGAAATGTGAAGCTATTTGTCTTTAAAATAGTGTGAATATCCAACACAGGTAATGCTTTTTCTCTTTTAATTTGTCAAATATATACTAAAATATAAAAAATTAATTTTATGTAGATATGGCCTTGGAGATTTTTAATATTTGTTTATTCAAATATAGCTTTAAAAATTAATGTGAATAGAACTATAGCTCAT